GATCAATCAAAGCTGTCTTGTCATGTTTGCCGTCCAAACAAATGTGTAACAAAAAAACAGTGCAAAAGCTTATATGACAAGAAATTTTGGTAAAATAAAGTGCACCCTATGTAAGCCTATTAGTTGTAGTGCTTAACATAAAAATGGTAAATTAATCAAGGAATGAAGTGTTTAAATGCTCACACTGTGTTAAAATTCACATTTGTTTTAAGAAAAATTGTACGGTGAATAGGTGTGAATAGGCCTTTACTCTGATGAAAACAGTCAATAATAAGCTCTTGATGATGTGAATTGCATTCTGAATGTGCTCACTAAAAATCTATTGCAGTGCATCCAGCAGATAAAGGCAGCATGGAGCTTCTTTTATACAGTGATAGGAAACACAGTAGCTCTTGTTCCACATGCTAAACCATTTTAATATGACCAAATTGGACATGCATGCTTACAACTACCCAGATGGCAGACTTTAATAAGTTCAAGGAGTTTCTAAATAGACCTCTGAAGTCTTGCATTATTTTGTAGTTTCTGTCTTGTCCATATTAAGAACGCGGGTCTGAGCTGGTTTTCTCTGTGAAAGGAATGACATTTTTGAAAATCATCTTTATTGCACAATGATAAACAAAAAGGTTCCAAACTGCACATTTTGGTGTACATTATTCCCTGAGTGTCACTGAATCCTCTGGATTACGAGGTCACAGTAAAACAAAAATAATGTTACATGCATGCTAAAAAAAGCTAACAGTCTTGCATAAACCTCACCATTGTTATATACAAACACCAGTTACTCAAACTGTAAAAAACTACATTTGACAAAGCTTGTTGTTTATTTGGGGTATTTTTGAGGTTGCCAGTCTTATGATGTGAGTTTAATGTGTTAGCAGTGTTAGCCCACATGTAGCAGTGTTCATATTTCATCTTCTTAATGACCTCGTAATTCATAGGATCCAGCAACAACAGGGAAAATGTCCATATGGAAATGCAGGAAAAGGTAGTAGGGAGAATCAGGAGAATTCCTGTTGAGCCAGGGAACAAAACCTTGTATCTCTATCATTGTCGTTTATGTATGTATATGGGCAGCTACAGAATGACAACACAACTTTACATGTCTGTTTTTCACTTGTTTGGAAATGGAAATGAGGTTGCTACTTTATATTTTTTACACCGCATGAATACAAATGTCACATCCAAATGTATGAATGCGTCATTTTCCGTGAGTGCTGAGAAATGTTATGATTTATTTAACATATAATAGCAGGCAGACACTCAGTGGCTACTCTGCCTTCAAATAGAGCTTTTAACTTTTTGCTGGTTTATTTGTCCGGCTGCTTCTCTTTCCAATTACAGAGCAAAAATGACTCCATCGTCTCTGTACCCTTTGGCTCGGCAGCGCTGCTAGATTGAATTCTGTTTCTGATGTGTCATATGATTGTGTAAACATGCATTCACCGCAGGCCGAATCTGCCTGACGCTCTGTTGCTAAGTAACAACCAAGCAGCACACACCTTGAATTAGTGGAGCGAGCCACGTCTGTGCGGTGAGTTTGATTTGCAGAGTTTATGAACGTGGCCCGCTGTTAGACTCTTTCACCACGGAGGTGGACAGAGACAGCTGCTATTGGTCAGTCTATGGTAATAATGATTACTGCATCTTGTTTTAGACTGTCGGACGTATTCGGGTTTATGATGTGAACCATATCCTCTGTATGCTCATTATTGTTCAGCCTCTGAAAGTGGTTTGCCGTAACTAATGCCGCAATATTACAGGGTCCCAATTGAAAACAGATGGTACGATTGGCGGATTTGGGAAACCAGCTGCTCAAGCCAGATTCCTCAGCCAATCATGGGCTATATTTGTCATGTTATTAGCATATGGGTTGATGTGATGATGTTAAGAGTGGTGGTGTGGGCATTATAAAGTGCGTGTATTAGGTGTAATTGAGTGAAAGTGGACTAGCACTCACTTGGGCCTTAGCCTGGGCTTCATCAGATAAAGCACTTAAACAATGAGAGTCTTATCAGAGCTCCTTAGAGAGAGACAGACCTGTGCCCATTATGCCTGATTACAGTCTAATACACCAAGCACTAGTCACTGCACACAGCACACTACTGTGTGCAATTCACAGCACATTTAAATGCTGTTGAAATTCAATTAAAGGGAAATTCCACCGATTTTTTAAAAATCTGCATAATTCAGATATAAATAATGTCAACTAGAAAGGTTTGATGTCCATTGTTCATTCATCAAACTTAATGACTCTGAATTCTTTACCATGGCAGTGAAAAGTACCAGGGATGGCAATGTCTGCACTGCAAATATTGTATAGCAGTTTTGTTTACTACCAATTGATTATATTGCCAATCAAGTTGGGTCGTTGAAATGTCAGAAAATGCACCACCCATGTCTTTAAGATGCCCTAAAGTAATCATATTTGTCTTGTAATATTTTTTTTTCTTAGTGTCTTTTCCTTTAGTGTGGGATTACCACAGCCTGCCGTGTTGAAATGGGTTACTGTAGAAAGGTGGCATGGATGTTGATTAGGCAAAGTCTTTCAGCATAAGTGGCCCCTTCTAACTAGTGAAGCTACTTTAAGGTGCATCCGTTGCTGACACAGGCGTTCAGCTGCAGTTTCAACATCTAGTATAAAGTCTTCCCAGAAGAGTAGAGACTGTTACTACAGTAAAAGGGGAAAAACTCCCTGTTAATACCATTGAATTCAGATGAAACACTGGATGAGGAGGTGTCTACAAACTTTTGGGCATATAATGCATTCACTGGTATTAGTATTACTACTACTAATACTACCAGGATACATACACCCAAATAGCCTTGTTAAATGCCATGCTTCTTGTCTCTCTCTTTTGCTCACTTGCTCTCTCTCCCCCTCTCTTGTTCGCCAGTCAGCAGCTCCCTCGCTGTATCTGCAGTGTGGTAGTGTAGAGAGAGACAGTGTGTGAAGAGTACTGAGCTGAGACTCTGTGTCTCTGTTCTCACCTCATGCTCCACAGCCCCATCAGTCTCCTGCACATTTCTACTTACTACCTCGTATCCACAGTGTAGTCAGTATCCCAGGACGGAGTAGGATCCTCCTCTGCTACTTTTAGAGTCTCAGTAACTTTTAAGGGAATGTGACACTAACTATGTTGATTGAGGCCGAGGGCCTTGATGCAGAGCACTGACACTGAGAGGTTAACATTGTCACATGGTTTATAGGTTTATATTTATAGTTTATATTTAAATGTATTATTCACTATATTAACATATTGTGTATGTTTTTATAATTCGATCATTGATTTAGACTCTTTCAGAGTGGTTTGAACACAGATTGGGGGTTTGTTAATGTCTTGTTCTTTGATCAGTAAAGCCCAAATTAGACAAATTAGATATTTCTAAATGGTTTATTCACTTTGTGTTAAACTTCCTTTATAATGACCTGTATTACTACATGATTGAGAGTCTTTTATGCGAAAGTCACTAGTAATTACATTATTAGTTGTAATAATGCTTAATAGGCACTTTGTTAAGCGGCAGATAAGGATAAATTAAAATTTAAAATCAATTCGATTGATTTTGAAGTGTTTGTGTGTGATATGTAGTATTTTATTCCTATAGGTTCTAGTATTGACTTCCATATTCTGAAGTGTAGTTGTCATCATTACTAATTAGAGGCTAAAAGGTGCTAAAGATGTTTTCAGTAAGTCTGCTTGCATCACAAATTCAGTACCTGTTCATGGTATTTTGGCCAACAGGAAGATTGAATACTACATTAGTATGCCAGTTTGTGTTCCATACAAGAGTTCAATGGCTAAAACTGCACTTTAGACTATGGAACACATCTTGACATATTAGTAACATATTAAACTCTTATTTCTTAAGTAATAAACTGAAATTAAGCAATAAACTTGACACTATTTCTAACCTATAAGAATCCAGTGCTGCCAATACACTAACAAGAAGAGAATTAAGATCATAATTCATACTAAATAATTTGCACAGCAGGGTGTTCATAATACATTATTACAATTTAAGCCCTATTGGAGCTGGATTAGTGTTACCTGGGGAGGTGCTGTAATCTGAATGATTACCGATGAGACCTGTGATTTTAATCCAGTATGAATCTACAGTGTCTGTAGTTTTTACTTTAAGTCTGCTAAGTCATAATTCTGGAGTAAATTACTTTCTATAATTCACAGAATGCAGCGCTCCTCAGTAATAGCAGTCCAGCTCGAACTGGCCTTACGGTAATGTAATGCAACCTGAAGACAAGGCAAACAGATAAAATGGGCCTTGATTTGACCCTTAATCCTTAAGTTCATGACAAAACTACTGAAATAAATCAAGAATTATATTTGGGGTGATTTGGGGAAATTACACATCCTTTATCCCATATGAATCAGCCAGTAACATCATGTACACTTTGCATTACCAGACTCCTACTGGCAAAACTAATCGAGCTCAAACAGGGCTTAATAATGACATTATTAGTGAGATTCATATAACAGTCCTCTAGTTATTTACTAATACCGGCCATAATGACTGAAGCTTAATGCATAGTGAAAAAATCAGTTAGAAGTGTCTAAAATGGTTTCAGTCACCACCACTGACATTGTTTACATCTCAACAATTTAATTATGCAGATTTTTTTTTATCTGTAAATTCTCATCCAATATGTCTGTATAGGTGTACTACTATATAAGTATACATTTTACACACTGTTATACACCCTTAACCACCCCATTGGTCATTGGTCAGTTTCTGATCAAGGGGCCAGATATTATTTGTGTAATGGAACATTCTTAGCAGTAACACTGAAAATATCAAGCAAAGAGTGGCTCTGTGGTCAGAAAATGACCATTGACAGAGGGCTAGAGAATGGCTAACACAGGACACAGGCTACAGCCTCTAGCTGTAGATGAAACTACAACGTAAGTGGCCGGCAGACATATACTGAACCATACGTCCATTTTCTCTAATCAAGTGCATTTCTCCTTTTGTCCACACAGACAATGTTGACTGCAATCTCGATGAGTGCCATTGCCACCAACGGAGTAGTGCCAGGTAAGAGACGCCCTCCTCTCTCCCCATACCTAGAGTGCTGTGACAATCTAACACAGTAGCCTTGGCAACCGTAACTCTCGCTGATGTCCAGACAGCATTACCCTCAAGGCTATATTTATGCATTCACGATCCTATCATTGAGCCCTATTCTAATCACAGCCTCAGCCTCACCTCCTGATTGGAGGAGAGCAAGAATGAGGGCAAATTACTGGCTTGGGTCCCTCTCTGTTTGTCAGTCACCAAAGACCACTATTATTCCCCTACTACTTATGTCCATGCTGTGAATGGACCCTCATTGGGTCTATACAACAGAAATTATAGTTGTGGGCTGTGCTCTAGTTTTACAGGGTCACTTGTAGTATGTTTGAGGAGGGAATGTCCTCACCAGTGCAAATGGTTTCACCCTGTGTGTGTGTGTTAACGTAGCCTGTGATCTGATCGCATGGAGAGCTTTCGCCTCCCAACCACTTTTTTTTTTTTTCATGAAAGCTACAAAATATAATACATCCATTTGGTTCCCCTCAAAGCGCAAACTGTATAGTTTATTGCACAGTGATCAGGAGATCAAATCAGTAGCACACAGTATGAATGGTTGCCTTGTTTTTAAAGGATTGTTCTTTCTGCAGTAGTACTCATAAATCTTACTTACAGTATTATTTATAAATCTTATTATTAAAGAATTACATACAACATCCCAAATGCCAACTATGGAAAACCATTCCTGCCAGGTAGAGGAGAATTTTTTTTTTGCCTCCTTCTCTGTTTCTGGTAGCAGTATGACAAAATCTTGACTTGGCATTTCAAATTAATACCTTTTATTTTCTTAAAATTTGGACTTTCAAATCATTTTCATTTCAAATTAAATTCTTATTTCCTCAAAATTTTGATCTAATGTCTCAAAGTAATCAATTATTTTATCAAAATATTTAAGATAATAAGTCATTATTTCAGAATTTCAAGTGGTCATTATTTTGACAGTCATCATTTCAACATAGTAAGCCATTATTTCAACATAAGTCATTATTTAGAGACCCTAAGCCATTGTTCCAACATGTAAGTCATTATTTAGAGATACTAGTCTTTATTTTGAGACACTTAGTCTTTATTTTAACATAGTAAGCAATTGTTTTGAGAGAAAAAGTCATTATTTTGACATAGTAAGTCAACATTTGTAGAAAATCAGTCATTATTTTGACATAGTAAGTCAACATTTAGCCATACTTTTGTCAGAAACTTGGCAGGAATGGGCTTCCATGATTCACCAATAACAATTATCATTCTTTTAATATGAATCATACAGAGATATGTGGATCACTGTAACACCTTTAAACTTTCAAATATCAACTTCAATCTGATGTTCTGAATATGTATAAGTGCTAAGTCATTGCTTGGGTAGTCTTGGGCACATAAAATGTCTAACAGATAGTTAAACTTGAGGAAAGACCAGCCAAACAGTTACCAAAGTATCACTCAGTTTACACTGTTATAGGTAGCCTGTATCTCTGGAGAAGACTCTGTTTTCTGGATCCCGTTCATTATATGTGATTATCCAAAGTATTTACAGTGTATGTTTGTGTGCAGCTGGAGGCTCCTACTACATGATCTCTCGCTCGCTCGGCCCTGAGTTCGGTGGGGCTGTGGGGATTTGTTTTTACTTGGGAACCACCTTCGCTGGGGCCATGTACATCCTGGGCTGTATCGAAATCTTACTGGTAAGAGAACCACCACAATTCATGACTTGTCCTTTCTGTTCTTTTGTTATCTCTGGATTCTTTTCAGTACTTTCTCCCTCTTGTCCTTTTCCCTCGCCTTATCACTTCACTCTCCTTCACTCTCTCATTCCCTTATCTATTCCCCCCTCCCTGCGTGCCTTTTCATACCTCTATCGGCTCCATTTTATTCCGTTCATCACTCATTGTTTCATCTTTTCACTTATCCTCTCCTATTTGTCTCTCTTAAGTCATGATTTGTACTCTCTCTTTCGCTCTCTTCATGAAGGAGTAATTATGTGGATGGTGTATCAGTGAACAGAAAGGTGAATTTGCTCTTTGAGCTGTACCACAGTTACATACACTCACAGCCTGAACACACATGTTCCTCAGCACCCCTCCAAACAGGCTGGTGTCAATCCAGCTTCTGGGTTAATTCTGCCCTATGGAGAACGCCGGCTTAGCCACTGTCAAATGGAAATCTCTTGTGATACTGGGAAACGGGCCTGATTCAAATAGGAGTTTTATCCTGCTGTCGAAAGAGACACAAAGACTGCTATTTAAAAGAGTGAAGAAGCGCTTTGAGATTACACTTGAATTGTAACCCTGGGAGATATGATATGATGAATAGGTCACCATGACAACTGGCCAGGCGCGTGTGCATGCGTGTATGTGTGCGTGCGTGCGCTCATTAAACTATGAAAGCGTATGCCTTCTCCAGTAATTCATTTCCATCAAAGTTCTTGGGGTTAAAGCATAAATGAGTTTAACCAACTGTGCAACATTCAAGGATCAACGCAATAAAACTCACCCGGCTAAATTTGGAAGGAGGCTGTAAAGTTCAGCTTGCGACCATTCAGATGCATTAAGAGTGTTTTTAGAAAGGCGTCTAATATGGCTTAATGGTAAGTAATTTGGCCGTTTAATTCCACGCTTGGCTGGTTCAATTAGCACCAAAGGAACAGAACTGAACAGAATTCCATGCTGGTCATTCATCAGAAAAGAATGACTAGAAGCACGCCTCTTCACTCTCTAATGCTTTTAGTTCTCTGGAGATTTTTTTTCCCTCCTTCCTTCTTATTTTTCTTGCTCGCTGCTCTATGCTTGTGTATTATGTTTATAAGGCTGGATTCACTCGGTGAGACTTTCATACACTTGGTGGCATGTTGTGAGTTACCTGCGATAATTTCTGTGCAACTTCCAGTCATACAAAGTAATTCAAAAACATTCAAAGTTGAACACAATACATTCAGTGTAATTTGCAACAGTTTATCATCGTCATATATTTTTTCCAGCTGTCGTTAAACAAATGTCTTACAGTTATGGCCTACAGTGGTGCTTGAAAGTTTGTGAACCCTTTAGAATTTCTTAATTTCTGCATAAATTTGACCTAAAACTTCATCAGATTCTATTCTAAGTCCTAATAGTAAATAAAGAGAACCAAATTAAACAAATGAGACAAAAATATTATTCTTGGTCATTTATTTATTTAGGAAAATGATCCAATATTACAGATCTGTAAGTGGCAAAAATATGTGAACCTTTGCTTTCAGTATTTGGTGTGACCCCCTTGTACAGCAATAACTGCAACTGAACGTAACTGTTGATTAGTCCTGCACATCGGCTTTGTGGAGTTTTAGCCCATTTCTCCATACAAAACAGCTTCAGCTCTTTTATGGTGGAGGGTTTCCTCCCATGAACTGCTGCTTCAGGTCCTTCCACAACATTTCTAAGGGAGTAAGGTCAGGACTTTGACTTGGCCATTCCAAAACATTAACTTTCTTCTTCTTTAAACATCCTTTGGTAGAACGACTTGTGTGCTTAGGATTGTTGTCTTGCCGCATGACCCACGTTCTCTTGAGTTTCAGCTCACAGGACAGATGTCCTGACAGTTTCCTTTAGAATTTGCTGGTATAATTCAGACTTCATTGTTCCATCAATGATGGCAAGCCGTTCTGGCGCAGATGCAGCAAAAAAGGCCAAAACCATGATACTACCACCACCATGTTTCACAGATGGGATAACGTTTTTATGCCGGATTGCAGTGTTTTCCTTTCTCCAAACATAACACTTCTCATTTAAACCAAAAAGAACTATTTTGGTCTCATCTGTCCACATCTGTTCATAGTCTTAAATTTCCTCCATTGGTACACAGTCTGTCTGTCTCTGGATTGGTGGAGTTCAAACTCTTTAGAGATGGTTTTGTAACCTTTCCCAGCCTGATCATCAACTCTTCTTCTGAGGTCCTCAGAAATCTCCTTTGTTCGTGCACAAACATGTGCAGACTGTGATAGATCCCTGTTCTTTAAATAAAACAGGCTGGTCACTCACACCTGATTGCCATCCCATTGATTGAAAACACCTGACTCTAATTTCACCTTCAAATTATCTGCTAATTCTACAGGTTCACATACTTCTACCACTCACAGATCTGTAATATTCGATTATTTTCCTCGATAAATAAATGACCAAGTCTAATATTTTTGTCTCATTTGTTTAATTTGATTCTCTTTATCTACTATTAGGACGTGTAAAAAACTGATGAAGTTTAAGGTCAAATTTATGCACAAATTTAGAAACTTCTAAAGGGTTCACAACCTTTCAAACATCACTGTACTTGATGTCTTCTCACATCTCAGTCTCCTTCTGTAATAACTGTGTGTAAATTTAGGGGCATCAAGAGAGAAGAAAATTAATCTAGCTACATAAATCATGTTAAAAGCAGGCTAAAGACAAATAAAGAGTGTCACAGGCAGCCGTTTAAACAGCGTTAGATGGCTGCATAACGCAGCTGCTAACAGAAATGTTAGCTTTGAGAAAGTCATGTTTGTTGTCGTCTCTCAGGAAAGAAACCAAATGAAAAACATGCATCTCTCTCTCTCTCTTTCTCTCAGATCTATATCGCGCCACAGGCGGCCATCTTCAAGATGGAGGGTTTAGAGGGTCCGGAAGCAGAGGCGGCCATGCTGAATAACATGCGTGTGTATGGCTCCCTGGTGTTGACCTTCATGGCGATAGTGGTGTTCGTGGGAGTGAAGTATGTCAACAAGCTGGCGCTGGTGTTTCTGGCCTGCGTTATCTCTTCTATTCTGGCTGTCTACGCTGGTGTCATCAAGACCGCCATTGAGCCGCCTGTGTTCCCGTAAGTGCTTCGAATTATCTGGTAGTGTTCTTCTTTTAAGCTCTGTCAAAGCTGGGCTAGTTTATTTTGGGGAGGAACTGTAATGTAAGTGATTTCTGATGAGATGTTTGATTTTACTCCAGTACAAATCTGCAGTGTCTTTAATCTGACAGGTAATTTACTAGTGTTTAAAAGTTTGTGTCTAAAATTGATGCAATATGCCCATCCTGTACTATTTCACAGATTTTCTGTAGTCAGTAGGACACTAGGAAGCTGTGAATAAAAGTGAAGAAATGGTGTGTAGAATGATGAAGACTGATAATGACAGATGAAGCTGTATCGCAAGTTATAATAAAAATAGTGTTCACAATTTATCATATTTCAAAAGTTGAGATGAATTATCAAGGCAGATAACTTTACCTAAATGTTAATGTAAAATAATGATTACAGTATATTTTTTTATCACGTAAAAACGTCTTGTTCACAGAATTCTTGAAAAATTGAGTAATAAAAATACCTTTTGGGTGTTTAGTTTGTAATTTAAATCCATATAGAATAAGTTATTATTGAATATTGTCGCTGTCATATCGCAAGTTAAGAAGATAATTTACGCCGTCTCTTGTAAAGTTGTCATTTAGAGATATATGGGATAATATAAAATAACAAAAATTCAACTGTAGTGTACTTCTGGGGCAAATTACTGAAAAATCCAGGGACTCCTTAATATCAATATCCAGTTATAATAATCCTATTTGAATTGACCTCATAATGCAATAACACCAGTGTGCAGTCTGTTGTGTTGCTTGTTGCCCGTCATCTATTATGACATGAACATTCAAGCTATGACGTTTTAATACAGACTCTCTGTGGGAATTTATACAGACAATCCAGTATGAATCATCCAGTTAAATCCTTTAGAAATGACATTACAGAACATCCACTTGTAAAACCACACCAGCTGCAGTAGTGCTTTAATAACATGGGTAGCTAGTTTTACTAACCACAGGCCAAAATCATGTTTTATGATGTCAATTTTAGCTCATCTCCAGCTGAAAACGGTAGGTCAGCATGGTGCTGTTGCAGTTTAATGTGCTAGTAGTTTCAAATCTATGACTCCCTAGACTCATTTTGCTAATGCTGCCCCTACGACCAGTCCAATCTCTTCCTAGGCAATTTTTATAGCATTCCCAGCCAGTTCCAGCTGATTAATTGATATGTGATTTGATAGGGGATTAATAAGAGACCATATAAGAACTGACTCAATGTGAAATGAATTAACCCAGTGCAGTCAAAATCCCCCTACATGCAAATCCAAACGTCCACAGAGTATGCGTGCTGGGGAACCGGACTCTGATATGGAAGGGCTTTGACGTGTGCGCCAAGGTGATGGAAAGGGAGAACGCCACGGTCACCACCAAACTCTGGAGACTCTTCTGCGATTCAGAGTTCCTCAACGCCACCTGTGACACCTACTTCGCCAATAACAATGTGACAGAGATACAGGGCATCCCTGGCGTCACCAGCGGCATTCTGAAAGGTGCACACTCTTGCTCCATCCACTAGTCATATATCTTAGTCATATATCTGAATGATTCAGACAAAATGATGTATCACTGATCTTTTAGTGGAGGTAAGGTAAGATGTGCCTGCAGCCAGACCAAGCTGTTAACCCTTTAAATGCCCAGGGCCTGCTGGCACACCCAGTTTTATTACACACTTCTCTAACCTTAGAATAGCTGAATAATAAGCCTTAGTATGTAATAAGCCTGGGCTTTTAAGGGGTTAAAATGACATGGATTACAGTTACCTTTCAGCTCATAAACTTGTTCCTTGTCTCTCTCACCTCTCTTTCTTTCTCTGTCATGCTTTTTCTTCCTTCCACTCATTCTCTGTCTCCCTCTCTCTGCCTCTCTGTCTTTCAGAGAACCTGTTTGGGAATTATTTGGAGAAGGGGGTGATTCTGCAAAAGAAGGGTCTTCCCTCCTTTGATGAGCCAGATGCCCTGCCCACTAACACAAACCGCTATGTGCTGGCTGACATCACCACCTTCTTCACACTCCTGGTTGGGATTTATTTCCCTTCTGTCACAGGTCAGTCACAACACCCTGCAGGCTGACCCTCCGCAGTGCTGCAGTGTTAACAGAACACCCTATTTTATTTATCTCCCCTACATGAATGACATCAATCCAGGTGAAGTAATTATGTAAAATGTTACATAATTCCAGCCATGTGTGTTTGATAATTGCCTTTGTGTTTGAAGTTTTGGGAACTGTGTGTAAGGATAGATTCATTGCATATTTTTTGTATATTTTAGTTGTATTTATGCCTATGTTGTGTGACTGCTACTGGCTGCTAAATTTCCTTCGGGATCAATAAAGTATCTATCTATCTATCTATCTATCTATCTATCTATCTATCTATCTGTCTGTCTGTCATTCTGTCTGTCTGTCTGTCTGTCTATCACGTTTTGAGACATTTGTAAATGTGATTCATTTCTAGATTTCTGAATAATTTTAATATTTAAGACGACACTGAGTGAGAGATGCTGATGCTGTGCCAACCTGAACTTTCCAAAAAATAATCTGTTTCTAATATTTCTCTCTTACCCTAATCATGCGTGTCTCTATATGTGTGAAACAGGTATAATGGCCGGCTCTAACCGCTCTGGTGATCTGCGTGATGCTCAGAAATCGATTCCAATTGGCACCATCTTGGCCATCAGCACCACCTCCTTCATCTGTATCCTTACAAATGCACACAACCCCAACCTCACACGTGCCTGTACATACACGCGCTGCTCCATCTTGTGGTCCTACACTTTCCTACAATGTAAAATATATTACTGTAAACTGAAACTGCAAGGGCCTGCATGTGAGCCTGCACTTCAATTCCGCAGTCTCATAACTACATAACTTACATACCATTGCTGTCCGAACAAAACCTTATATCTTCATTTTTGAAAATTTCAGCTGCGCTTTATATTGTGTAAGAAGTTTATGATGTATGGACCAAAGAAACGGTCCGAAATTATTTGAGAAAAGAATCTTTTAAACTTAGGCTGAACCTTTTTTTTCTTCTCTAGTGAAGTTACTTTTTTGAAGATTTGAGGTTTTGTTCCGACAGCAATGATGCAAAGAATGATTTATAGTAGTTACTGAATAATGAGCTTTAAGATTAGTAACTGGGTAATAAACCTGCAGTTTAAGAGATTAAACTGGTAACTCCTTGTGTACATCAACCAGTGTATCTACACTTACAGGAACAGCAGCTTTTACATTTAGTAACACATTTATCAAGTGTTTCATTGGGATCACTGCGTCCATGCAGAGTACTGTGCAATAGTCTTATGCTGGGTTCACATGTTGCCATTAAAAAATACATTGTTCCGTACCTCATAGCGGTACACCACCAATGGCAGCATGCAGCCATGGAAATGTTGCCATAGTGAAAGTGTTAGTTGTTTAGTCAAGGAGGAAAAACGTTGGTTTATTCCACCACTGTGTTCGACAGCAAAAGTTTGGGAAAATTTGAACTCTTGGTAGAACAAGAGTTTCATCTGTTGACTCCTTCGGTATCCTTCCATTACTGTGAGCAGTAGCAGAGATTTCTATTGTGGCTTCATTTAACACAATGGATTTCCAGTTTTCTGGTTTGCCGGTTTGCCATCAGCCGCCTACCACCAACATGTGAACGCCACATTATGCAGCCATAAAGATGGTTTAAAACTATTTATCTGGCCAGTATGTTTGTTTCTGCTATAAAAATAGTATATTACATAAGAATATACGCAAATAAACATAAAATAGTCAAAGATTTTGTTTTTAAATGTTATTGTGTTGATTAGAAGAATACAGTTATAAGACCGCAGGTTTGGTTTCTGACATCTCACTGCACTCCAGCAGTCACACAGGTTTGTTCAATTCCATCAGAAGTGCCTGATATCATTTAATGAAGGATTGATTAGATAAACTAGGCTAAACTGGAGGATAACTGTAAATACTGGACTTTCTTGACGAGAGCTTTGGAAATGACACACTCACACATAAAATCATGCATTGTTTATTTGTATTTATTCTAATATTAATATTTCTTTTGGAGAAATAACTGCTTACTCGTCAGGGCTGGGTCTCCCAAAGCATCTCAGTACTAAGATGATTCATAGATGGTAGAGCGAGCATCACATTGTACACTCTCTCTACCAGTTAAGATGATCTTAACAATGCGATGTTTTCGGTAAGCCCAGCTCAAATAAATAGCTTTACATATCATCTTATCAGATGCCTTTGACTTCTGCACAGTACTGTGTGTAGTTATTAATATGTAAATGACATGTATCAGCTGTCCATCTCTAAGAAGTGTGACTTCCTTTAACTCCGGCTCTCAGACATGTCCAGTGTGGTGCTGTTTGGTTCCTGCATTGAGGGATCAGTGCTGAGGGATAAGTGAGATTCCTCTTTATTTTTTATAACGATCAAATCTGCATTTTTATTTATTTATGTTGTATGTAGTGAGCTGAATGTCTTTTGCTGCGTTTGTGCCAGGTCCAGTCTGATTAGTTTCATGAGTTAATGTTAATCTGTGATGGGTTCAGGTTTGGTGAGGCTGTACGGGGGAATCTGGTGATAGGCACGTTAGCCTGGCCGTCTCCATGGGTCATCGTCTTCGGCTCCTTCTTCTCCACCTGCGGGGCCGGACTCCAGAGCTTGACGGGTGCCCCACGTCTTCTGCAGGCCATAGCCAGAGACGGGATAGTGCCGTTCCTCAGGGTGAGACACGCAGACACAAAACACCTAGCTTTTAAAAAATTTTTACAGTAACCCTGAAGTAACGATTTAAACCTTAAAAAATACAATCGAATAATACATTGTTAGATATTTTTTGTGTATTATTATTAATCCCTATTAAAAATGGCATAAACTTTAACAATTAAGAGTGTGATGATCTATGGATACGCATGACTATGCAAATTGTAAAGGCAACAACAGCTCAAGCTAACATAGGCTTACCTGCTCAAATAAAGTCTTTATTCTCTAAACCTGTATCAGTGAGGCTAAGTTGAGCAGACTTGTTTTGAGGAAAACATCACGTGTAAATATTTGTGACAGTACTAATTTGGGAACAATGCAAAATTCAGTAGATGTTATCCCCTTGTTGTGATGTCAGCACTCAAACCTTTCAGCTGTTCCAATATGTGCTTTTAACAATAGATTAGATAAGAAAGCTGAAATGCAATGTTTAATCATGTTGATCATGTTTATCATCTCAACAAAATAATCATACTTAATGCATAAGATCATTCAAAACAAAAGGATTTAGTCTAAAGTCTAAGCCATTTAAAAGCATAAAGGGTGTTTTCAGTTCTGATTTTGAAGCAGTTCTTTAGAATGATCAATATAGCGCACAGTGTCCCCCAGCTTTTGACAGGCTGTGCACACACACAACCACTGATTCAGCAATGTTTCTTCTTTTATACCGTATTCATGATGTATGTTTGTATAACAGGTTTTCGGCCATGGCAAGGCAAATGGGGAGCCCACCTGGGCTCTGCTTCTGACGGCTTTTATCTGCGAGAGTGGAATCCTCATCGCCTCTCTGGACTCAGTCGCGCCCATCCTCTCAATGTAAAGGGCGTTTATAATCGTATTTGCTCGTTACAGTATCTCACTGTGGCAGGAGTGTCATTGTGACAGTGCTGAATCACTGTTCTCACTCTCTGCAGGTTCTTCTTGATGTGCTACATGTTTGTGAACCTGGCCTGTGCCTTACAGACTCTGCTGAGGACCCCCAACTGGAGACCGCGCTTCAAGTTCTACCACTGGTGTGCAGAGCACACATGTACACACACATATATATATGCAGAATGTAGAGTGATTGGATTATGAATGAAGCTTATTATGGAGCAAATGCATCTGTGATGTGTTTCGTAGCACTCTTGATTTCCAGGCGATAAAATTGCCTGGAGAAACAGCGCTACGGGGAAGCAGAGCGTATTTCAAAACCGGTCATTTTCATCTAGTGAATGTTGAGGCAGGATTTTTTCCATCCTCCTTCGTGCAAAATGAGCAAAACCAATCAGTATGTAAACTCCCTGCTATTCCACACTGAAACAAATGAACCCTGACATCACTGCCGAAATCAGAGACTGGGACTTTGTCCAAACTGCTGTCATTAACACATTCAGGCCGTGAGATTGACTGAGATCCTAAATAAAGAGTTCTAATTTGTGTGTGCAGTGCAGTAGATTGGCAAGCAGTTCATGGGCGATTTGCAAAGAATAATTGCATAGATGATGTAAAAAGGTAAAAAAAAATGATATTTAAAATGAAGCTTCTGCGTAGGCTAGTTGTTCTCCATAGCTAAGGAGAGCTCAGGTCTCAAAGTGGTTTAAGTAAAAGGGCTATAGCCAAAAAAAAGAGTGTGATAACATAATAATATAAAAATTATTGAAAAAGTTAGAAGAAGATAGAAAGACATAGGAAGAAGAACAAAAGACAAAATAGCATATGATAAAGCTTTGGCAAATAAAACCAGATTCAGTATGTTAAGCCAATCACATTTCATGTTTACAGACTTTATACAAAATGATCATTTTAAACTAAAAATGTACTAAAAATATTGGCAGGATTTCAGTATATGGGGACATCACAATGATTCTTATTAAGCCTTAACAAACCAGTAGTAACTGGTAATTAACTGGCTGCTTATTACTACTTTATAAAGCAATTAACACCTTCTTAGTTGAGAATGTTAACTAGGTGAAAACTAAATGTTTAACTAAATAACTGGGGCCAGTGTTTATGCATTTAGAGCTAACTGGTGATTTTCTATTGATGTAATGCCCAGAATAAAAATACTCCCAACTAGTGGTTTGTTAAGATGGTCTAATTAGACTCAATGTTGACTAAAATCTGTCTTTTCACTCTCAACAAGCAGTGTTTGATTTTATTTAAAGCTAATTTGTGATTTACAAATGTGATGTTGGTACAAATCAAAACTAGTGATCTGAAAAGGAAAAAGGATGCAATGGCATTAATTGGGCATTTCATTATGCACTTCATGCATAAGCACAATCCGTATAGACCCAGTACTCAGGAAAGGGTTGTGCTCAAGATGTATAATACACAAATAAAACAGCTTAGTAAAATGCGTAACTCACCCTGGTTACTGCTTAATAAAGTAACAATGGGCAGCCAGTTAATTAGCAGTCATCAACTATTGAACTGAAACGGCTAAAAAATAGTAATGGACAGTTCAGGATGTTGATAATGCAAAAGTTAATGAGGTATAATCCCGAAAAAAAGGTGCATTTAAAAATGTTTAATTGACCTTATGTATTGCTTAATAAAGTAGCACTAAGCAGCCAGTTAAAGCTGCTCTATGTAAGATGTTTTCTTGGTAAAACTGTAGTTGCATTAATGAGTTAGGCGGAAAAAAAACACAAAAAATATGATGTTACGCGTTGATGTGAGTTGCCTGTAAAGCCTGAAATAATAGTTTTCAGAGTTCATGGCTCGGGGAGTTTTTGGGGGCACTTCATAAATCTTTATATATTAATGCCACATACGCAGGCTCAGAAAGAAGGTCTGGCTGGATCTCAAATGCAAAATCAACATTATACTGATGAAGATATGATGACTATAGTAGATAATTCACTCACATTCTTGGAAGACATGTCCTTCGCCAAGTTGTGACTGAGTTCTCTTTGAATACTTTTCAACACGCTTGCAATCTTCAGATTCATCCATTCAGGGAACGTGTCCGATACACAGCCCATGTTACAAAACATTCTTCTGCGTGTTGTGTGTAGTTACACATTCCTGCCAGAGAGGTCTCCAAATCCCCAAATCTTACATAGTGGAGCTTTACTTAGCAGCTATTGGCTTGTTAAGGCTTAATAAGTGCATTACAAAGGCATTATAATATCCTGTTTTATTCACCAAAATATTAGGTTAAACAGTAGAAATATACAGTTTTCACTTTTATTTTTAAAGAAAGGACGCGAATTGCATTTCATAAAGACAAAACCTTAAACGGAAAGCACATGCTATTTTGCTCATTTAAAATCACGCAATCCTGTGTAGGAGATTAGATTTGAAATTTTTTTCGGGTATTATCAAGTTTTCATCTGTTTTTACACATGCGAACCTCTAATAAATCAGGGCCTCTCTCTGTCCGAGACATACTGAATATTCCTCCTCTCTCTCTCTTTCTCTGTCTCTGCAGGGCTCTGTCTTTCCTGGGCATGAGCCTGTGTCTCTCGCTCATGTTCATCTGCTCCTGGTACTATGCCATCGTTGCCATGGCGATCGCCAGCTGTATCTACAAGTATATCGAGTTCCAGGGGTGAGTGGAACGCACCCCGGTGGAGAAGGGGTTGGGCAGATTGTTTTTTTGGCATTTGACATGTCAGTGTTTCTGCTCCAGTGCAATCCTCCTCAGCCAGCGAGAGGCAGAACTTGATCCAGGATTCGATTTATTTTGTGTCTTCCTTTTTAAACTTGTTGAGAGTCAAGCTGCGCTGTGACCTCAGCTGGAGGAGATCAGATAGCGGGGAGGATTCAGCGAGAGGATTACAGCCTTAGAGTCATTGCACAAGCTTTGTTTGTGTGTGTGTGGCTGCTAATTTGGATCTGACTTGGTTGTTGACAGGGCGGAGAAAGAGTGGGGAGATGGGATACGGGGGCTGTCCTTGAGCGCGGCTCGTTACGCCCTCATGAGGCTGGAGGAGGGGCCACCTCACACCAAGAACTGGAGGTAAGGGTCCGACAGCACACGGTAACACGCATACCAGGCTCAAAAGTTTTAAATTACTTGTTTATGCACAATAATAATTTTATTAAAGGACCCATGTACTACAATTTTCTTGTACTTTATTTTTTACTTTCTTTTAGCACTTAAAATTAAACAGGCCTGTTTTGTTACTGTGCCTTTAAGACTAATATGAGATTAAAAAAAAAAGCATCTGATTGGCTGGCTTGCATTATGCCTTATTCAGAAAACACTCAGGGCTGAAACACTTCTAATAACTTCAGTGTGAATGGACAAAGCTAAACTGCTGTAGCCTGAATAGGCAGATATACGTAAATGTGCTGGTTCTCAGGACATCACAGAAACAGAACAGTTTGGTTTCCATATATGAACCATATGGGCTGGTACACTTTGAATCTTTGAAGCCATATAAGAATGTTTAATATGTCATGAAAACGAGCATCACTTAATGCATTTGTGCTTCCTGTTTTTGGCTAACAGCTGAGGCCTCTCTCTCAGACCCGCTCTTTAAATTAGACATGGGAAATTACACAGAAGGGCACGTGAATATCACCTCTCTCTCTCTCTCTCTCTCTCGCTCTCTCTCTCTCTCTCTCTCTCTCTCTCTCTCTCTCTCTCTCTCTCTCTCTCTCTCTCTCTCGCTCTCGCTCGTTACCTCTCCAGGCCTCAGATTTTGGTGCTGGTCAGTGTGGATGCAGAGCAGAATGTTGAACAGCCTCGTCTGCTCTCTCTGACCAATCAGCTGAAGGCAGGGAAAGGCCTGACCATAGTGGGCACAGCGCTGGCTGGAACCTTCCTGGACAATCACCCTCAAGCCCAACAAGCTGAACAGGTAAAGTACTCATGAGTGCACGAACAATCATACTCATTTTCTCAGATGTGGACTGCATTGCTGATTGCATACCGACATACAAAATTCTCAGTTGTAAGTTAAATGTAAAAATGGCACAGAAAAGAAAGGTAACACTGCCTCCAGAGCACAAAATCTAATTTACTTAATGAGTTATTAAGGAAATTCTTATTTATAACATGACTTGCTTCTGTTTCTGAGAACGGCTTTCTCCAGAGCGATGGAGCTCCGTCCAGTCCCTTTGGGATGAGTTAAAGTGGAGAGCTGATCACCTAACATCAGTACCTGATCTCACTAATGCTCTTGTGGCTGAATGTATTCAAATTCACACAGCAATGTTTAAAGCATTCCTAGTGTAAAGCATTCCTACAAGAGGCTGTTACTGCAGCAAAGAGGGAACAAACTCTGTATCAATACCCTTGATTTCAAAATAAACTCTGGCTAAGCAGGTGTCTACAGACTTTGTACTGTTATCTATAGCAGTAGTTCTCATACTGGTCCTCAGGACCGCCCCCCCAGAAGCCCACCCGCCCCCTTTCCAGATGGCTCCTGAGATGGTGTTGGGAGACAGCAAATAACATGGACTTGAGGGCTGGTTTGAAAACCACTGATCTAAAGATGTGAAGAAGCAAACTTTTCCCCTCTCTCCTTCCAGTCCGTGAAGAAGCTAATGGAGACTGAGAAGGTGAAGGGCTTCTGCCAGGTGGTGATCTCCTCAAACATCCGTGACGGCACCTCTCACCTCGTCCAGGCCGGTGGGCTGGGCGGCCTGCAGCACAATACTGTGCTGGTCAGCTGGCCTCGCAACTGGAAGCAGGCTGAGGACCACCAGCTCTGGAGGAACTTCATTGGTAAGTCCCCAGAGCTCTATTCCAGTCTGAAGATCATCATAGATCTTCCTTTTGCACTGAATCCCTTCCACGCGGGATGGGTATGCAGCCATGCTCCCTTGCAGGATTATATAGTGATTCCGAACCCTGGTCTTGGAGTACCCCCTGTAACATTTTAGTGTTTCCCAGCTCCCAACACACCTGGTCCAAGTAAATAGCAAGTTAACAAGACCTTAACTTGATGGGGGATGTTAGAGCAGGGACAGCTCTAAACCATGCAGGCAGGGCTACTCTAGAAATAGGACCGTTAACGTGTACAAAATGATTAAGTGTTAAGATGTTATGACTGAATATTAATTGTCTAACTAAAGTTGAGATTTCCGGATCCGACCATAAAGATCATTATAGAAGTTGATCAAGCTCTGTTTTAACAGATTGGTGTTGGCTATATTAAGTTCAGTCTGATCTTTTTTAAGGATATTTTATCCCATTGTGCTCAAATTAAACTACTGTTGTAGAAGTGGAATAAACAGACATCTTCCAGCAGAGAGGCATGTTTTCAGAACCTAGAAGTGGGTTAAATGTAAGCAGCTGGAAAATGAAAATGGGAATTTCACAGATTTTTCAAAAGTCATTCACCTTAAAATGGTACATTGTAGAGAAACTTTCAAATTCTGAATTACTTTAGAATGGTGGTGATAGGAATGTCTAAAATGCGCACACATATATACATATTTCACTAAAACCCCAGTGCATTTGGCAGACGCTCTTATCCAGAGTGACTTACAATTTGGTCATTTTACACAGGTAGGCGAAGGTACTGTTGGGAGTCTTGCCCAAGGACTCTTATTGGTATAGTGTAAGGTGCTTACCCAGGTGGGGGATTGAACCCCAGTTCAATCTACGAAAATGCAAATCAGTCCTTCCAAAAAATAAATAAATTAATTTTAAAAATTATTAACCTTTTTTGGATCATAATTATTTTGTTTTCTGTTTTATTTTGTACAAACTTTTACATTAAAAAATAAAACTATGCTTTATTTTTGCTTTAGTGACGCCTTTATTTTAAATACAGGGCATTAAACAATGCCATAGCATGCTTATATGATTTTTAGCAAAAATGTCACAATTATCAACTCAGACTATCCTAAAATACCAAGTATGAAAGGATCAAGATCAATTGCAGAAAAACACGACTGGGACATCACAAAATGAAAAATGCTGCACTTTCAAAGGGAAATTATTGGTAGAACGTCATAATTCTGAACTAGGCAAATAAGTATGGGTGTGAATCTGATTTCAAAGAGCTCGATCAGTAATGAGCTTTGACATGAGTTTGCATAGAGCTATTAAGGTATTAATTCTATGATCTGCTAAATTCTGCTAAAAAGTGATGCATTATAATACCATTTCTTATATCACAATATAATGACTGCTTCATCTTACAGAGTTGGTCAGAGAGACTACAGCTGCAAGCAAAGCCCTGCTGGTGGCCAAGAACATCTCAGCGTTCCCATCCAACGGCGAGCGCTTCACTGAGGGCCATATCGACGTGTGGTGGATTGTCCACGATGGCGGCATGCTCATGCTGCTGCCATTCCTCCTGCGCCAGCACAAGGTTAGCACTTCACTTCAGCTCCTGTACATCATTAAAATCTATATTATCATATTACATATGATAATACTATAAGCTTAAGAATGATACACAAAATTCCCAATAAGCAGACGTTAGAGAAGAAGCCGTTTGAGGAGGTAGAATATTCAGATATATCTGACCAACAGCCACATATCAGTGTTACTGATTTTGATTGTGTGTTCAAGGTGTGGAGGAAGTGCAAGATGCGCATCTTCACTGTGGCCCAGATGGATGATAACTCTATTCAGATGAAGAAGGACCTGACCACCTTCCTCTACCACCTACGTTTAGATGCCCAGGTGGAGGTGGTGGAGATGGTGAGGTTTTCTCTCTCTCTCTCCCTCTCTTTCTCTTTCTCTCTTTATCTTCTGCACTCACTCCTCATGTTCTTTTTCTGGCTTTCATTTATTTGATGTTCCTTGCTGCACATTATCTCATCTTCGAACCTAATCTCGTTTCTCCCTCATATTGTTTATGACTGATTTTTTTTGTTTAATTTTCCTCTCTTCTCTTCTCTTCTCTTCTCTTCTCTTCTCTTCTACTTTCCTGTATTCTCATCTGTCCTCTCTCGTCTCCTCTTTTTTCTTCTTTTCTCTTCTGTTTTCATCTTTTCTCCATTCCTTTTCTCCACTCCTTTCCTCTTCTCTTCTTCTCTTCTTTTCTCTTCTCTTCTCTTCTCTTCTGCCTTTTTTCTTCTCTTTTCTTTTCTTCTCTTCTCTTCTTCTCCGTTCTTCTTTCCCTTCCTCTCTTCTCTTCTCTTCTGATCTCTTCTGCCTTCTTCTCTTCTCTTGTCTTCTCTTCTCCCTTCTTCTCTCTTCTCTTCTCTTCTCTTCTCTTCTCTTCTCCCTTCCTTTCTTCTCTTCTCTTCTTTACTTTTTCCTCTTCTCTTGTCCCTTCTTCTCTTCTCTTCTCTTCTCTTTTCTTTTTTCTCTTCTCTTCTTTTCTCTTCTCTTCTCTTCTCTTCTCTTCTTTACTTTTTCTCTTCTCTTGTCCTTTCCTCTCTTCTCTTCTCTTCTCTTCTCTTCTCTTCTCTTCTCTTCTCTTCTCTTCTCGTCTTGTCTCTTCTCTTCTCTTCTCTTCTCTATTTTTCTGATTCTCTTTGTAGCAAGACAGTGACATCTCTGCCTACACGTATGAGAAGACCCTGATGATGGAGCAGCGCTCTCAGATCCTGAAGCAGATCAACCTCACTAAGACAGAGCGCGAGCGCGAGGCAAGCCTACATAACCGCCTTCAAAACACACACACACTTCCAGCAGCCGTGACCATCCGCCCAAGCAAAATGAATTTACTTTCTAACTATTTCTTTCCTCAGGAGAAGTGCACCAATGGTAACTGCACTGCCTTAAGCATGACTCAAATGAAGCAAAACAACAACATAATTTTGTTACTGCAGTGTAGGATTTAAAATCAGCAGGAGTTCACTCCTCCTCTCCAGCCTAGGGCAGTGCTGTGCAAGTCCTTAAGACCTCTGCAGTGCACAGTCTGGTGGTTTCCCTGGTCTAACGTATCTGCTACAGTGCATGATACATGATAATTAGCCAGCAAGCTAAATCAAATGTGTTGGAGCGAGGGGTCTATTGTGGAGTGCTCAAGGGCTGGGATTGGGTCCAGTCTGGTCAGCATTACTTCTCCTGCATCTTCTAAAGCTGAATGAGTTTCTCTTTCAGATCCAGAGCATCACTGATAGCTCCCGTGGCTCGATCCGTCGGAAGAACCCAGCAGCGGTCACCACCCAGCTGAGTGTGACTGAGGAACCAGCTGCCAGCAGCAAAGAGGAGAAACCAGAGGAAGAGGTAATTGAACATGAAGTCAGTCCTGAGATCGTATCTCGCTTTGCACAGAAGTATCAAGAAGTCGGATTTAACTCAAGCTTTCTGTTGGGATTTTTAGCAGGTTGTTCTAAGTCTGTTCTCAGCCCTCCAGGCCTAGTAGCTGTGTAAGTCTGTCTGTGTTCCAACACATGATCTTAGATCTGCAGATTCTGGCCTTCTGTAAACACTCTCCATGAATTATCAAGAGGCCTTTTCTGTTATCTCTCACTATCTGTGCACTCCACATTTTCATTTGTCCTTATCTATTATTTTATTACTACTTTCACCTTCTGTGTTTTTGGTTTTATTTTTAAAAGTTACTGGTTAATAGTCTTGTGCAGCCGGACATAATCTTGTAACAGGAATACACTTCTAGGGACAACTTTTTAAACTTTTGATGTTGGATTGTAGTGAAATCGTCTGCTAACAAGGGTCCACCCCCACTAAAACCCACCCCAAATTCCTCTACTCCATCTGGAGTACCAACAATATCACAAGTAAAATAAGTTAGTTAGCGAAACGCTGTTTTTTTCCCTTGCAAGAGAAAAAGTTTATTGTTACCGCATTTAAGGTGTTCTCTGTGACACGCCTACATACTTAATTTGAGTGATTTTTTTTGGAGTCTTTTGCTTATTTGGCTGTACATTTGGGATAATGACAGGCTTGTTGTGCAAATGTTGATGAGCACATTATCGCCCCCTACTTTGAGCTGTACCTTCACAAAGAATTGGTAATGGTTTATAAATTTCACGCTGAGTTTGCTTTTACCCTAGGAAATCTATGTTTCAACCCACGTTTAACGCACAATTTCTCATTCTTGTCCCCAGATGCTCTTGTTATGAGAAACCATTTTAATCGTATGAAAGGTGCTCTATAAACAAAGTTATTATTATTATTATTATTATTATTATTATTACTATATAGTACCATTGAATACCTCCTTGAACAGAAGTCTTCCATAATCTTAAAGATAATGTAATGGCTTTTTAATATAATGGCTTCTTAAATGTTTGAAATTCTTTTCTAAGACAAATGCAATTTGTCAGAAGTCTAGAACTATGTATGAATTACTTAAAAAAATACATACATATATATATATATATATATATATATATATATATATATATATATATATATCGCTGTTGTCAGCAGAAAACCTTGTATCTCCAAAATGCTAACTTTACAGGAGAAGGAAAAAACCTACTTTACTTTTAATGTAAATCAATGGAGCCAGACTTTTTTCCAAGTCATTTTTCATGAAATTTACACACAATGTAAAGGGTAACAGGCATTTTCAAAAAACGTCAAAAATGTATATATATATATATATATATATATATATATATATATTAGATAGATAGATAGATAGATAGATAGATAGATAGAAATCTAAATTCTAACATTTTTTGATCCATTTCACTGTTTTGGCTGGTCATTGTGCTAAAATGCTTGCAGTGCATTTTGTTTATTGCATGGTAGATTAGAAAACAGTTGTCTGTGCTACTTTTATATTGTATATTGTGTTATATTGTTTTGCCTCATCGTTTCATGCTTCTTGAATTATAACCTGGTAATAAAACAATGCACTATATTGTGCTTTTTCTCTCTCTCACTCTCTCTCTTATCTTCCTGCTCTCTTCCTCAGTCGTAACAGATCTCTCTGTCCTCTTCCTCAGATGTAACAGCTCTCTTTTTCCTCCTCCTCCTCTGCCCTCACACTCTCCGTGTACATGTTGTGCCCTGCCCTGCCTCTCAGTGTGTCACTGTGTCCCCACCCCCACAGGAGCAGCTCATCCACGACAAGAGCACCAACCCCCCCACCCCTGCCACCCCCCAGTCCCCGGCTGCCGAGGCAGAGACCCCCAGCACGGTTGTCCAGATGACCTGGACTGAGACCAAGTGCGACGGCGAACAGGCCAAGCCTCTGGGAGTTACCACGAATGAGGCTATCAAAGACCTCTTCAACATGAAGCCGTAAGTGTGAAAACCAGCAATTAGTACATTTTCATTCACTGAGCAAGAAAAGGTCCCTAGAAAAGGTGCATGAGTGTAAAATGTCATGACCAAGAGACTGTATATTCACTGGTCAGAAAATGGCATCTTCTCCTGCAATCTCCTGAAATGTGTGAATGAGTCAGTGGCTCAGTGTTATAACACCATCTGCTGGACAAAATAGTTTAGTGTAGTTTTGACTTACAGTTGTGCTGTTCTAAGGATGGGCTGTGGATGCGGGGAGCTGATTCTCCATAAACGCTGACAGTCAGTTTGAAATGTGTAGTATTTTGCTTGGAGTGTGGGTAGCCTGGGCATAAGGGAATGAAACTCAAGGACAGAAGTTAATACTTTTAATATCATTCAAACACTGTTACCTACAGCCCTCTCCTTCGTTCTCTTTTTCAAAAAAAAAAAAAAATTATAAGTATATATATTGACAGTAGGTTATATATGTATAATGTTACCACACACCACCATAGAAAACTTTCAATGTATTTGTTTAAACATTTACTCTTTTAAATACTTCAGTATGCTTAAATGTAGATACTTTTTTACTTTCATAAATGTTTGATTTGATACTTCCACTTTTAATTGATTAAGCCTTTTTTTTTGAACCAAGGTCTTTTTATTGTTTTTTTTTAGACAATAAAAAAAGGGGAAACATATAAAGGGGAAAAATAAGAGAACAAAAACCCTCTGAACAACGCTGCACCATAAAAGATCATTTAACCGGTATACACTCATATATATATATATACACATAAACATACATACACACATATAAGAACAAGGAATTCTATAATACAATGAAAAAGAAAAAGAAAAAAAAAAAACAAAAAAAAACTGATTACAAAGGAATTCAACAAAACAAATAAATACTTTTTCTCTTTTTCTTTTTTTCCCTCCTCCCCTTCCCTTCCTTTTCCAAAGGGAAATTTCAAAAATGTAAAATATCGATTGAGTCCATGTTTTCTACATATGTCAAGACAGGTTGCCAGGTCTTATAGAACTTATGATCACAGCCAGTCACAGAGTAACGAATTTTTTCTAGACTCACGTAGTGCATTACATCCTTAATTGATTAAGCCTTTAACCCAGTAATCATACTTTTACTAAATTGCAGTTTCCTGTATGTGCTCCATCCCTGTTTAACTGTTATTACCTTATATCATTCTGAATGGTGAGTGCTTGCTCTTTATACTTGTGTTCCTCTGTTTGTCATGCTGCAGAGAATGGGAGAATCTGTGAGTATTCAGTTCTGTCTCTTTCTTTTGCTTCCTCTAGCAGATATGCGCACTTACAAACACACACACACACACACACACACACACACACACACACACACACACACACACCTATTCCTGTGTTTATTAAGGATTGCATGATAACAATCGGTTTATTGCTGCTGTTACCAACACCAAAATGTTGTAGCATAATTACTCATGACTCATTGTAATAAATAGCCAGTTGTCTCTTACTTTTGACTTTAGCACCCTATTTAAATCATGTTATTAAAATAGGTAACTACTTTTTCTTTCAAGAATGTCGATTGGGCCATTAAGAGCACATGATGTTATTCATATTGCAACTTAGGCTCATAGAAAGTTCTGGAAATATGCTACCCGGTTTCACGTGTGAGCTAATAAAAATTTGCTATTTGCCAGTTTTAAAGAAATTGGAAATTGCCATAAAATTAATCAGTGGAGCATCCCTAGTATTTTTGGGTATATCTATTGACTTCTGTACATAAACCTGCAGTGCTACACCTCAGGACCCAACCTTAACCATAGGAACAGAAAGGTAGTAGTACTTCCATTACTAAATGCACACACACACACACAAACACACACACACACACCTTCATATGCATCTGATTCCGATTGAACACATGGTCCAGTTACTGTTGCTCTTTCCCTTCTCCATTCATTCTCCATTGTTCAGAAACCAGTCCAACGTTAGGCGCATGCACACTGCTCTCAGACTCAACAATGAAATTGTGAAGAAATCCCAGGAGGCCAAGTTAGTCCTGCTCAACATGCCCGGACCACCCAGAAACAGGACTGGTGATGAGAACTGTATCCTTTATTTGCATCATATGTATGTGAGATTGTGTGTATGTGGGCACAAACCTCAGGCAGAGCAAACTGTCCTCGTGGTCTGTACAGTGTGTCTGCTGTTTTTCTTTAACTCTACCTCCCTCTCCCAGACATGGAGTTCCTTGAAGTCCTAACCGAGGGTCTCAACCGGGTCCTGCTTGTGCGTGGCGGAGGTCGTGAGGTCATCACCATCTACTCTTGAAAAACCAGCCTGCATCGCTTCATCCCATTCCCCTACCCAACCTCAAAATCCCACGCAAACTTTGCATTCATACATCCAGCCCAAAAGACCCCCGTGCCACCCCCAAGCAATATCCCAGAAATCCCTGCCCTGCCCTACCCTGCCCTTGCCCCGACCCACTCCATACCAGAGACACAGGCCCTATTCTGAACCCCCTCACCTTCTTCAACCAGCCCTCAGAAAGCCCCTTTTTACCAATCCAGTACAGTTCTATCATTCGCAGCCCAATGTTCCCAACAGCCTCCTCCCATTCTATATTTGTTGTGAACTGGTGATCCGCGGTTTCACCTGCTGAGTTCAGTGCCACGTTCATTACGAGGGCAGACTATTGATGTCAGTAAGTAATCTGCTGCATTCCGGAGGTTTTCTCCATCCCCACTTTCGTAGACTTGTCCATCACTCTTCTCATCCAGTCAGGACATGTCCGAGGGTTGACGAAATGGGATGGGCGGGTTACGATACGTCTGTTTTGTCTTTAGGGCTTTTTTTTATTTTTTAGATTTGTTTTATCATTTGTTTACAAACAAAAAAAGGAAACTTGCCAGGATGACAGCTGCCAAACAAGCCAAGGAACTGCCAGACGTCACATCACTGTGGTGGAGAGACAGATTTTGATGGATGAACTGACCAAGACAGTGGCGGGACAATTCCGCCACAGAGTGGACAGATCTCCCAGAAGCCTCGTCTGGCTGACGGCCATGGAGAGACGCTCTGTCTCACCGTCCAGTTAACACGCTTGGACTAAACTGCAGTGAAAACAGTTACATTCTCCGGACTGCGCTGGGAAACTTGAGAAAAAAGAAAGAGTTTGTGCTCCGTTTTCTTGGCACAGTTCTGTCATTTTATTTGTGTTTGTATGCATGTCTCATCGTCACCCTCCGTGCACGCCTCATCTTTTCGTGTCTCCCGGTCGGATGTGGCTAGCTATCCCCTGCCAACTACGACATGTGCCAAAAAAAACAAGAGTGGGAAGATCTGTGACTTGCTGTCTGATTGCCAAGCAGCAAAAGATGAAGTCGTTTATCAGCATTATTGACGCCGTAATTAGAGAAGGGACACGAGAAAAGGATTCATAGTCTACAATCTTTGAGGTATTGAAACATCAGTGTAGTGTTCTCCTGAATTTACTAAGCCTCTGGTGAAGAAATGTCCTTATCTGACAGGGTCGGCTCCAAAAAAAAAGGCTTTTGGAAGGCTTTTGGCTTCTCACTGGAAGTGAACCATACTGTACTGTAGCCCCTTTCACGAGCACTCAACCTGCACTGGCAGCCACTGTGCAACAAGTGATTTAATGAGTCTGTGGATTCATTAAATGTGTGTGTGAGTGTGTGTGTGCGTGTGTATGCGCGTGTCCATCCGTGAGAGCGTGAGAGCTACCATTTTTTTCCCTTTTTACAAAAAGGAAAGCATATATGTTTGTTACATTTACAGAACAGATCTATTTAAAGTATCTTTAACAGTATGATATGTATTATCTGTGTTGGGATGCACCAGAATATCCTTGTAAAGATCACACAGCTATACGATGTAGATGTTGCTTGTGCCATATAAGTGAAAATGCTCTCAGAGTGGAAACCATTATCAGCTAAAGGTAAGACTTTACTGTAGGCTACACGACACCTACATTAGCCCTTCATGACAACTGACATAGACGTACAAAAACAGTCGTAAACACGAATTCCAATAGGCATCATTTCTCATTAAGGTTTGCCCCCTTTTTAGATGTCAAGTTGATGTAACATCTATGTCAGGTGACGCTTCTTCTGACATTAGGTTGCATCGTCGCTTTCTAGGGTGAAATGGCAGACTGTAGCTCAGAGTCTGGCACAGTGACATCAAGTTAAGTCAAGGTTTATTTATATAGCGGTTTTAAGAACAGGTGTTGTCACAAAGCAACTTTACAGAATAATCTGAGTCAGAGTTCACAAGAGCATCGCCAATGATGACGGTGGCAAGGAAAACTCCCTAAGAGCAAGAGGAAGAAATCTGGAGAGGAACCAAGACTCAAAAGGAGAACCCATCCTCCTCTGGTCGACTCAAACAATAACAAAAGAGCAAAATAAACAGAGAATAAGGTTTTACCATTAGTATAAAATATTAAGATACAGAAAAGAGGAAAAGCAGGTAGACATAATGCTGAATACAAGTGATTCTGGTTGAACATGCTGAGCATTTTTGTAGCCCTTAAACAGGGAATTCTACTGTTTTTTTTTCCAAAATGTTTGCTTAACTAAATGATTAAGAAAAAATCAAAAACAACTCAGAGTGGTTCTCCATTCTGGAGAAACCTACCGTGAGAATCGTTCACAGTGGTAGCGATAGGAACCAGACATCCACCTCTAAAAGCTGCCACACAAAAAGCCATTGCATGAGATGGTTACAAATATGCTGTAAATATCATGCCTCGATTTACAATAATTCTGATGAAAAATTCTGTTTTAAAATCCATCCCAAGGCAAATTAGTCCCCAAAAGTTTTTCAGAATTATTACTATTTTTCCAATACCAACATCACAAGACATGAATGACTTATACTGGGCTTTGTGTAGGTTTGCTAGTGGTTTCGGATGACTAATGATTTTGTTTACAACTTATTATGACTTATGAATTATGTAGAAAATTTAAAAAAACTGGAGGAAGTAAAGTAAATAAAGTAAGATTCACTTGACCATTTATACAGATTTAAGATATGTCAGCATTGTATCACTGTGATATACCCTAAACTACATAGTTGTTATAACATAACGTGGCATTTCACCCAAAATAGTGTCAAGTCACAAATGTCAGAATTGTCACGTGACATAAGTGTTGACATCAAAGTCAGAAAAAGCATCATTTTTGACAGCCAGCTCCTATTGGAATAAGGAATTTATAAATGCTTATGTAGCTTTATGTCAGTCGTCATGACGAGCTTATGTAGCTGTCATGCAGCCTTATGAACACTGGCCTACAGTAAAGTGTTACCGAAGACACAATACCGATTACACAGTTTGAAAAAGAACTGTTAGTTTGAGCTAGCTTGAAAGTAGTTAGAGGTTATAGACGGAGAGAAACCACGCCCAGAAAGTCGAGCTCTATGCAGTAAGGCTGTAGTGTCGATCGTATGCAAACTGTCTACACGTGCCGGTCTGGTCGGAATAGCTGAGGGAGTTCTTTTTCATGCTTTGAAAAGTGCATTTTTGAAAGGACTGTGCAATAGCTGAAATGGACAAATCATGTAATCACTGCATTATTTATTTTTGTATGCATATATTTTATATATGTGGCTTTACTTTGCGTCATTCTCACCGCAGAAACCGGTCGTCACAGCTATAGTATATATTTTTGTTTTGCGTTCAGAGAAAAGAACTGTTATGGTCACTTGCACTTGTGGTAGATTTATTGTTATGAATATACAGTATATATATATATATATATATATATATATATATATATATATATATATATATATACATATATAAATTATTGGAGAATAAATCTAGAGTTTATAGAGACTACAAATAACATTTTCTGTTTTAAAGGATTATGAAAACCTCTCATAAGTTGCGAATGCTGCTAGTGTACGAATAGATCGATTTGTATTGTGTGTATGTACATAGAACAAAAAAAATAGTATTTAAAGGTATATACAAACATTAGTGGGGGAGGGGTAGACTTATGAAAATACATATCAGTGCTGGTGATTTTTGCATCTAAGATGTATGCAGGTTGGTTTTTTGCCAACTTCAGACTAAAACAACTATCAGCATTTCCGTCTGAAATCTGAAGCTGAGCCGATCTGAAACGTCCGGACAGCTTTTGTGGTGTTGTTCTTCTGGTGACGTACAATATCAAACCATGCAATGCACAAGCGTACAAGGACTGGCTGCTTTTTTGTCTGGTGTACGTTCTGAGCCGCCGCATGTTCGCCACATGCTCTCGTTTGCTTTCGGTAAGGCCGCCGAGCCGCATATGAGTAGACCTCCGCTCATGCATCGCCTGCATAGACTGAGCCTTTTGAACACGTTTTTTCCCCAAACAGGCAACTCTGAGTTGGTTCGAAAAGACAATTTTCAACCGATGTTTTGAGATTATTTGTGTTTTTTAATTCCTGTTTGCATGGTCCGTGTATGAATATTTGTTTCAATGGTTTCTATTGTGTATTGTATGTAGAAGGTAGAGGCAAAGAAAGGAAGCGGCGTCTGCTGGAGGCCGTCTGGTCAAGGCCAGGGATGTAATACTTCTGTATATGCCAATCTGTGAAATGTGTGGGCACCTTCTCTGCGGCTCTACGCAAATACGCTTATGTGCATCTTCACAGAAGCATATATCAACCGTAATTCAGCCTTTAATCCGTGGGTTGGGGGCATGTTAAAAGAAGCAATTTCTTCCTGTCCAATATAAAGCTAAAATGTAAATGATGAAACAAACTTGTATTGGGAACAAAAACACCAGTTTAAAGTTCTTCTCTATGCCTAACATTATGGAGAAATCATACTTACACTGGACTTACACACACTAGCTAATTCTCTATTCTTCTAGGTGAGAATAAAGTCACCTAGCACTACTACATGGCCACTAAGTGCTCCAGAGTATAAACTAGAATGGTATGTTGATGTGTTGATTGCTATTGTTAGCCTATGTAAAGAGTTTGCTCAGGCAGTATTAGCTAGCTAGGTAGCTAGTCTCGCAAGCCAAACATCTGCCTTTCGTCAGAGTCTGGTGCATTTTGCAGATCATGGGGTGCTCAGATGTCGCCTTTTCAAACTTCCTTTCATGGCTGTCTATGGAACAAAGAGCAAAAAGCTCTTCTCTAGCTTGCGCAACACGCCTCAAAGTTTAAGTTGAAAAGCTCGAAAAAGCACCATACATCATCACAGCTGACCAATCAATATAGAAGACCTTCTCTGTAGTCAACGATGGAGGGAAAGCTAGTTTTGGCTGTTTTCCAACATTCAGAGCTGTCTCTTTTACATAGATGTCAATCAAACGTGTTAGCTCACTCCTTTAAGAAGCACATCCTGCTTCTTTTTAGCATGAAACACTCAGGGCCGGTTTATGAGGAGCCTGGCCACTTCCTATTTCCTCCGTTATATCAAAAACATGACCGCAAAATGGCAGAGGGCACCTCAGTCTTCAATGAATGAGAGTAAATGGAGCTCATTGGCTAAAAATGAAAAGTTAAAATAATTTCTAATCACTCGCTCAGAACTTTAATTTAAGAAAGTAGAAAGATTTGTTTCACTAAAAAAATCATCTGTATGTTTTCTTTTTTCTAAAGCAAACAGGTTTTGGGAAGTACAACGCTAGCATTACTGCTACTGAGTGCTGATTGGCTGGCGACCTGAGCAGCTACATTGGCTGTTCATGCTCACCGACATCATGGACGTAGATGAGGCACTGTTTTAAACGCCTAAAACTCCAGTTCAAAAGCATTTAAAAAATATAACAGCAGTGTTGAAATGTTTTCTGCTGTTCTGTGTTCAGGAAATGATTGCATTCTTTTATCTTACAAATGTTTAAGCATTTGTAAACTATGATTGTACTCAAATACTCCATATTAACCCATTCGTTTTGGACTTGCTCAGGAGCGCCCTCTAGCGTTTGAGAAACCCGGAAGAGATTAAAGAGTGGTAATTCTCCTCTCTACAAGTTCTCTGGCACACTCGCCTTTTAAAAAGACGTCCTCTGAATGCCCCCTGATAAGGCCAAGTTCCGCCTACATTGATATGAAAGGCCATTTGACTGACATGCAAAACAACCAACAACAGATTTTTGCATGACGTGTAGAGGTGGTGATTTTTTCTAAGCAAGACTAGCACCAAAACAACTGTGCGGGAAACCTGCGAGAAGCAAATGTGTCTTGCTTAACAGCTTAATATCTTGCTTAAAAGCTACTGACTGATTCAAGGAAAACTCTTGAATAACCTGTAAAGATGTAACGCCATGAATTTCACACTTTCATCAATCCACTGACTATCCTGGTCTGAAATGCCCAGAGTGCAGAGAGCGCAACTGCTTACAATCATGTTTCCTGTCAGACTGATTAAACCCACTGCAGGGAAATATGTACATAAGGCTCTGTGAATAAGCAATCAGTATGCAGCTGACCACAACAGCTGTGGCCTGCTTAACATACACTGAGCGTCTGAGGGTGAGACTAGCTAGGTAACTAACACTGATGTTAGCTTGTATTTTGTTAGCATGCCCCCCAGTCATTAATCAACAGTTACACCCTTGGCCTAATTGGTATCAAACTGGTCAGGAGTGGTTGAAGGCAGCACGCCGAAGCGACTTGCGACCCAGAACATCGTGGGTGGATGTAGCCTAATGAAACGTTTGGATGCATTCTATCGTTACCTGTTGTATTTTGATATTCATAGATCCACGTGAATTAGACTAGCAGGATACTTGGTGTGGTATGAATGGGTCTTAGGTGTCATTTTGGCTTTGTATATTAATGCTCTTGGAAACGCTAGCTTTCAGTACACTTGTCCTTCGTTGTATTGTGAGAATGCTTTTAGTACACTTCGAACAGTGGTCTTAGACTGATTCACCTGTTTCATTTCTTTTTCGAAGGTTATGTGCAATATTGATTCCGATGTTCTCTTTGGGGTGAGGGGGGGTAAAAGTTCTGTATGTATGTTTGTTCGCATTTATATATGTGTCTGTTTGTTTACCTCTGCTTTGAGCACGGTCCCGTCTGGGCCGTGACGATCATCGGCGCTCTTTGTATGCTAGAGGAGTGTACATCACATCTGTTCTATGGTGGCTGAGATAGAAATGCACTTTATAGAGTTAACATTCTCAACGGTGGCGCCATTCGCCGTTTCCAGAGCATGCTGGATTATTTCAGCTTTCCTCTAGTGGCAAGAGTGTGTACTGCAGTCATGCGGAGGCAACAGCGTCATTCGAGGTTTCGCCATGACTTTGCTTTCGCAGAGCAGCTATGTTCTCTGCAGCTGACATACTACCTGATCATAATGGTTTTTATCCTGCTGTACAATACTGAGGTGTTCTTATTTTTCACTTAGCATGGATCACTGGCTTTTTTGCTGTCGTTTTCATTCTCCAATAGAGTATAAATCATAGATGTGAAAAATAAAGGTGTTACATTTCTTGTACCAGACAATGAATCAACATAGTGACTCCCTCCCTTGCTTCACCTGTCCCACTATCCCCCTACCACTTCAAATCACATGCAAGCCCTCCCAACAGCCCCCATTACCCACTGTCCCAAGCTCTCCCCTCAAGCACTGTATCAAAATGTGATTGCAGTATAAATCTGAATATTGATCAAAGACTATAAACAAGCGCTTCCACTTCTGGGCTTCTTGGCTCTGTTAAAACTGGCAGCGGGCAGATGCCTCTTCCCTCGCCTTCTTTCCGTCACTCTATCATCATCAGAGGATTTTATGAGAGGAACCTTGCTAAGATGTAGCAAGAGACAAAGCCAATCTTCTGTATAATAAAGAATGGTGTTCTTTTATCATCTTAAGGAATATAAAAAAGATATAAGGGCTCTGGATAACAATCTGTCCTTGGTTTTTGAGGTGTAATTGGGTCCTATCCAATGCTGAACACCTCTCCACTTAAGAAACGCTGTCCAAATCCTCCTTAGTGCTCCATTCCCTTGGTTCTCAGAGATAGAGATTGGCACACAGTGGCTTTGTGTTCTGAAGCATTCCAACTTTAAGCTAAACACTAGATTTTAAGGTTCCAGATGTTGCAATGTCCAGCCAGAACAGTTCTAACAGAGCCAGGGCCCAGGTTTTTTTTTTGTCTAACTCAACGCATGCACATTATCCTGAACAAGTTGATATAACTCAATATATATTTAAATGTTTTGTGGTTCTCAGTATTACATTCACTCTCAGTATTTATTTTGACTCTTTTAATTGCCTATGTGTTATTTTTACGAGCCGTGTGGTGTAACTTATTGTGTACAAATGCTTTATTTGGGTAAATCAGTAGGCTAACTAGGGTAAATGAGTGTATTGGTTACAGGATTCTATTTTTATTATAGTTAGTTTAGCCAAAAAAAAAAGAATAGGCTATTTTTCTTTTATTATTATGATTACAGAGTTAATTTATCGACAGAAGAACCAATTACCAAAGTATATTTAAGTTGACTTGGACATATATTTTGTGTGTTATAAACTGTCATTTTGATGAATTAAAAAGAAGCTTGAGGGTCTACCAAAGTCAGAAGTCCTGCCACTTTAATTCCACAGAGTTCTACTTATGCCTTAAACCAAAACATCAATTGGCAGCTATATCTTAACTGAGCCCCAATACACATGGATGGTGACAGATGGTGGTGGGCAGTTCAGCTTAGAAATGCAGACATTTTAGTACTTGAGGGACAATTTATCCAAAGACGTTAAAACCTGATGACTCTTAGGAAGTCTTGGCCCATTCAAAGACCCAGTTTAAGTTTAGTCCGGAACTAGATCTCATCCAAGTCCTGGTATGGGTAACTACAGGCCAAGAAACTGCACTGCATTCACATTAGCCCAGTATTAAACAATGTAGATTAAAAATAGCACAGAAAACTAAAACTATCATTTACAACAGGGGTCTCAAAGTCCAGTCCTGGAGGGCTGAAACCTATCCCAGGTGAGCTCCTTGGTCAGACGTTCGTGATTCGGCTCACCGATTAATGGCCAGGTTTGATTTGTATGTTTTAAGTGAAATGTGCTGGACTCCAGCACTCCAGGACAGGACTTTGGAGCCCCCTGGTTTACAAGGCTTTAAAGATCTTTCTTCCTACTGTTGGGCTTCAAAGCCTTCAAACTACATCCAGTAACCAATTAGGCTCATTAAACACATGCTGAGAAGAATGTTTTGTTTTTTTGGAACAGGATCCATAAGCGATTACCATGGACCGAGTCCTTCAAGCTTGTTTTTGATTCATTAGATGCACAAAACATTTTGTATGAATGTTTGAAAGAGAATGGATGTAGACAAAAAAGGATTTTCAAATCTTTAACACAAGTATGTAGATGTTTTATTACTTCTTTTCTTGGTATAGACCAATTATCACAAATTGTTCCACTGTGTTATTCATTTGTTTGTGTGCGCGTGGGTGTGTATGTGTGCATGTGTGTGCAGACATGTGCGTATGCACAAAAGAGAACCAAGAAAAAAAAGCATTGGGGACCATGGGCTAGGGAGGGAGGGGGTTCTGTACATACAGATATGGTTAGTGTTGAGGTGTTTATTTTTTGTGTCAGTGTAACTTAAATATTTTAAAGAGATAAATAAGTATTATCTATTGTGTTTCATGGTACAAAAGAGGAAAAAATATGTAGTTTTACATTTCAAATGCTTTATCTCTATGGCTTCTGGCAATTTCCCATTCCATTTTATAGATTCGTCAGCACAAAATGCAATAAACTAATACCATTTTATTACTGATTTGTACAAAGTCTTCTTTTCAGGGCACATACTCTTGTGGAGACGGGAAGTGAAAGTTGTCACAAAATTCATTTATTCAATCACAACTGTGTATGTACAAATGACAGGTTTTACATATTAAAAGACAACTGGATCAAACGCTCAGACAATCATGCTTCATGAAAGACTCATAGCTATCATGTTTCCTATTTGGTAAAACAAAAAGGACTTTATAAGTCACAAATTATTCCTATATCAAAATTTTTTTATCACATTTCCAAGTAAGAAATAGAAAAAATCAACAGGGGAAAAACTCTGCAAGAACTAAACCTCTAAGGAGAATCAAAGATCACAGAGCTACACTTGGGTGGTATGTGGATGTTTTTCAATAATGGCGGGGGTAGTGAGACACTGGTGGTGGTACCTGGCCCATACTTTGACCCACTCCTTGCCCCAGACTCTGGCTCATACCTTGGCCCATTCCTTGACCGAGCCCTTGTCCTGGTCTGGGTGCTGCTGCTGTTGCACTGCCTGAATTTACCAGGTGGTTAAGGGCTGGCCCACTCTGGATGAGTGTGTCGAGGGCTTTCTGCACACTGGGGTTGTCAAAGTTAATGCCCGTCCCTGCACTGCCCACAGGTCTCTGGAGACCCTGTGGTGCTGGCATGCGGCCAACGGGAGGCCTCACGGCAGGCCGGGGGCTCAGCATGCTCTGAGACTGCGTAGCAGCCAGCGTGGACATGGCCGGACTGGAGAGTGCCGAGGGCAGTCCGGCACTCTGCTGACCCAGACTGGAGGTGTAGCCCTGGGACTGGGGGGCTGAAGCTGGGCTGGAGGTCACCGACGTGCCTGAACCACTGTTGAAGAGACTGAGGATCTTTGCCTGTAGTTCTTGCTGCTGGCTGGTAGCGGATGTGGAGGCAGGCGCCAGGTGGGAAGAGTGTACAGGATGTGTGGACAGGGAAGGGTGTGTCTGGTGGGAGGCAGGGGTGAGAGCTTGGGTGGGCTGAGAGGGCTCATGAGTGGCTGATATAGCAGATGAATGGGGTCCTGCACAAAAAGAAAAGAGTAATGAGGCTTAGTGTCAATGCTGTCAATAATGCTCACTAGTGTCAACACTGCTTTCTTGTTTGAGAAACATCCTGCACTGGCACTTCGCTTTGGCTCAGTACAACATAAATAGAAACTGGTAAAACCCAAGGACGAGTACTTCAGACATGCTCTCTCTGGTATATCTGGATAAAATCATGACAAACTCATATCACCACATACTGGTGGTGAACTATACTAATTTTTAAAATAATTAATATAGACTAATATTAAGCTATAATGTATAGTAAAATCCACCCGAATTATAAATTGTGATAATCTTACCAAGAGGGTCTGTGCTGCCTCGCACCAGACGATCACGTTTGTCTTGAAGGTAGCTAATGAGCCTTGATAACTCATCGGGAGTTAAGAACCTTAGACAAGAAAATTATTTTAATACAAAACTTATACATACATGAAGTCCTTAGAAATCTTGGTACATGACTTGGTACATGACTTGGTACATGACTTGGTACATGACTTGGTACATGACTTGGGATTCCACAGCTACAACGCATTCAGTGAGTCACTGATACTCTAATTTATTCAATTTTTCTGCTTTAATTTACATTTCCATTTGTGAACATACCTGCCCTCTGACAGCAGGGTAACAGCAGTCAGTAATGAAACCGGATGGCCTTCTCTCTCATGCTCCCTCATCAACACATCGTCTGCCATCTTGGCAGCTTTTCTGGCAATCTCGTCCCGCTCCTTGGCACGGTTCTCAACCTTAAAGGAGTCAAAGTTGTGAGCCACCAGGACCATGGCATCCTGCATGGGCATGTTCCTGTGTTCTGGGACAAAAAAAAAAGAACAACAAAAAAGACGTCAGGAGAACATAGTACACTACATCTTTTAAATAAAAGCACTGAAAACCAGAAAGTAGTTTTTTTTTTTTTAAACTCACAATTTAATGTCTCCCAAAGGCTCTTTTAACTTGGCTTTAAATTTGCAGATAGCAAAAACCATTATCTTAATGACTCCTGGAATGAATCTACCATTATCTTAATGACTTCTATACAAATGAATAACTATTATCGGTCATCAAGCTGCTTGTACCCTGTGGCGTGCCAAAGAGGATGTTCACTGTGCAAGAGCGATGCACTTGGTGCTGCTGGGTAATAATTATGGCGAAAGGGCGTTCGAGCCCGGCTCACGTCTTCCAGAGCCTGGGTCAAGGACACCTCGGTGTTGAGGAAGATGAGGTCCACCACCATGCCCAGATCTCGTACCTTCCGACCCACTGTTTCTGCATACTCTCTACATAGGGTTGAAACAAAAAGACAAACGCTCATTAACTAAGGCCATCAGCCAGTCTTAAACAACTAAGAGGCACAGTTTGACCATAGTAATAGCAGTCAGAATAGTACATGTTAGTTATTCTGGGAAGCTGTGCCATTATTTAAAACAAACAAACAAACAAACAAACATAAAAAAAATAAACACAAGAAGAAACTGGTCAAACCAAATACTTCACCTCTGTCTCAAAGTCCACTTATCAAATTTAATGGGAGTAACAGTCAAAAGACTCACTTCTGCTGTTTGTTGACCACAATAACAGAGCAGTCCACAGGTCTCTCAGCATCGTAACGTCTCTGCAGCTCCTCATAGTACTGGCGGTAGAGCTCATTCCTCCGGCGCTCCTCAGGCCGCAGCCGCTCCTCTGGACAATATACAATACATAAGCGGCGAACACTGAGCAAGAGCTCATTAATGACGGACAGATTTCTGCTTGCATCTCTACCAAGACAGACACGTAGAGTATATTTGAGTAGACTAACCTTCCGATTCTCTCCTTCCATTCCAAGGCTCCCTGTAGCGGTCCACATATGGCTCTTCTTTCTTACGGTAAGCATCATACTCACCACGGTAATATCCACGATCATAACCGTCATCTCTGTGTGACAAAAGACATTTTTTTCTGTGTTCAATAGTGCAAACATAGCTATCTATTAGCATGTTCCTTTGAAATCTGTGGCCATCTACCTATAAGGAGCATCTCTTGGGTCTTTGTCCCTCCCCTCTGAGCTCCTATAGCTCCTCTCATCTTCATGATCTCGAGGAGGCCCAGGCCGCGGCCCTCGGCTATGCTCCCTCACGTCTCTGCTGTCACGGTGGTCGCGGGATTCTCGGCCATGCACTGGCGATCGAGAGCGGGGACGGGGCTCCCTGCTGTCCCCATAACCAGCTGGCCTGGATGAGCAAAACAGCAAGTCAACAAATGCCAACTAAACAAGGGAGAAACCAACTTGGCTCAGCCAATAATAAATGACCTCTGCTCTCTTACATATTAAACGCTGTGCAGAAGATTTTAACTAATTTCAAGTAATCTTATACTCACGCTCAGAAGATTTTAATTGCTGTTTATAGAAATTTTCCGCATTGAGACATACGTACTACGAATGGGACCAAAATCAAAATGCTCCCATAAATGAAAATCTTCAGACGTATTACGAGTTGATGATGCGGGTGAAGCTTCCAGAATGATTCCTCAAATACCAGTCAGGGGGAGAAACAAGTGCGAAAGCAGAAATCTTTAGGCTAACGGGTCCAAAATGACGTTCAAATAAATATTAAATGAATCCTCTCAGAAATAAAAGGATCCTCCTCTTTTCCATGGTTTGCAGAAGAACCAAAATGGGTTCAGCCAGATGACCAGGTGGTCATTTGAAACATTAATATTAATTTAGCATACCACAAATTCTGATGTTCTTCTTCTAAAAACAGATGTGGTCGACAGGATGCGAAGACAGACACGTTCCAAATTATAGAGTTAGATTCATTTTATTTCATGGAAAGGCCAACAGCAGCCCTAGCCACAATCAGTCAGGACCGACGTCTCGAAATATTCCAATCACACCAAAATCCCCCAACCCATTACTGCTTTTACAAACAAATGAAGTGTTGTAGAAGATGTAACAGCAAGGATCAGTTTGGATCAGTTTGGTGCAAATTGACAGACGTGAACAAGACGCAGTTATGAACAATTAAAGGCAATCTGTGCAATACCGCATAAGTTTGGACAGAATGAGTAACACACCGTTAAAAGACAAGGACACAAAGGGAAATAGACTCAAATTGCCCTTTCAACTTTATTTCAGCATGTTCTGAAAACCTTTAAAGAACGAACAAGCAAGAAGACACATTCTGAAGAGGAGAGGCATAAATTTAACGTTTTTCGCTGCCTGTAATGATTTATCTTGCTACGGTTACCAAACCAATGCAGGGGGAAAAGAACCCCAAAACAAACACACAATACAAAATAATAACTGAAAAAAAAACAATATTTTATTATTTACCAATAATGCGTCATCGAACACTTCGAACCCACTTTCCCAACGTTACTTTACCTGCGTGGAGGACTTGACCTGGCTTTCTGTCGTCTCTCCGCTGCCATATTTACATCTGTAAACAGACCAATCCAAAGGTTCAACATATGAATGACCGAAACCTAAAGAACTTCTCATTAAAGATTCAGTAACTTATCTGCTGAGGACATTATTAGGCTCTAAGTTATTATACTGGATTATGCTTAATTCGTCACGAATAATTATTTCAATGAGGTAGAAGAAAAGTCAACTTATTTTTAAGCAGGCTAACTTAGCATTGTGTAGCATAATTAAGCTTTTAAAATAACGTAAATCACGACCTTGAAAGCTAGTGCTCCAGACATAAAAACAGAAACAACAAAAAATGTAATATACTTTGATCAACATGACAAAGATTAGGGTGCTTCTTTATTTTTGCCTGCATTCTTTAGAAAAAAATAAAATAAATAAAAAAAAACAACATAATTCACTCACACATGCTTACTGAAAAGCCACCATTCCACATAAGAAATGACTCTGAAGGTTGCAGACTTATTCACTCAAATGATCCTTTCAGCATGTTTTTCACCACTTTGTAATGCTGAACCAAGGCCCAATCCCATTTCACCCCTTGCCCCTACCACTTAGCCCTTACCCCTCTGTTTTTTTGCGTTCATGTCTGGGGTAGGGTGTCCTGATTTTTGTTGAGAAAGGAGTAGAGCAAGGCATTAGAGCTACATGGCCCTCCAAACGGAGGTTTTCAGAGGCACACTCCAAACAGAGTGTTACAAGAGAAAAAGAGAAAAAAAGAAAAAAAAAAAGAAAAAAGAAAACCCGGCAAGATGACTACGCAAGTGACCAAAGAAACCCACAAATGTGAGTATTTTCTCAGTTACAAAATTACGATAACCATTGTATTATCTTAGTTTAATGTCGTTTCATTGTATTATGGTCCTTTTCTTCATAACAAGCAGTTAGTTAGCTAAATTTCTCGTTCCACCTTCAATGGTGCTGAAACTACATTCTGGCGCCTCAGGCGTCAGAACTGCTGCACGCTTTAAGGTGGAACGGGTCAATTCGAACAAGAAGCTGGCGAACAGCTGACTTCAGCTTCTTATTACTGAAGAATTAGGGGTGGGCGATTAATCGAAAAGTAATCAAAATGATATTCAGAACCTCGTAATCTTGCCCATGTTGGTTATTTTGTTTTTTTTTTTAATCCTGTTGATCCTTTCACCACTCTGTGTGTTCATGAACTGTCCCCTAAAAACTTAATACCGTGCGTGTCGTCAAGTGACTCCGCCACGTCCAGTCTGCGATGTGGAAGCTAAGGCTATGTTCACAAAGCAGGTAACAGTAGCCTAAATCTGATTTTCTCAGATTTTCTTTATCTTTTAAAAGTGATCTGTATGCAACATCAGTCTGAACAGATCAGCTCCTAAACTGACCCGCATGCGCAAAAGAACAATGTGTCACGCTGCTTCACGTGGCTCATCCAGAGGTAAACAATCACAACTGCCAACGAACCCCAGTCACTCCCGGAGCTTTCAGTTTAATCTTCGCCAGCATCACAGGAGCCATCATGAAACTTCACTGACTGACACCTGGGCTCATCACACAGAATGTGTTCGAGCTCACCGTAAAAAGGGCACTTCATCACTTCTTTGGTTCGCTTCCTTGGATTCTTTCAACTTTGCTTTCAGACTATTAACACAGCACGATTTTGGATAAGTCTCTTATAATCTTTGTAACAAGAAACACCAGCCCAAATGTTTATTGGATTGCATAAAAAGCTGTGTGAATTCCAATCTTGCTGTTGAGACGATTTACATTAAGATATGCAGAGCATATTTACAGTACAGACCTTGTCAGTGAACTCTGAGGGCAAAAAAACAAAATAATCGTTCATTAATTGTAATCGAGGTAAAGTAATTAATCATGACATTTATTTGAGGTCACATTGCCCAGCACTAGGTGGGCAATAATAAATACTTGTCGCTTCCTTCTATCTTTGAGGGCATGATTCCCTAAATGTAACTAAAGCCCTCAGCAAGTTTGCTGAACTTTACCCTCCTCTGCTATCACTGCAGACTGGAAGGGTCACCAACAGAGCACCACTAATGGCCTGCTAATGAAGTAATGTTCTTTTTATTTGAGGGTCCCATTTCATAGGGGACGATTTCAACCACTAACCCTTGTAACTCAGTTCCAAGGGGCAAGGGGAGACTCAAAAATAAAGGGTTGGGGTCAAAATAAGAAATGGGATTGGGCCCAAGTCTTCTGTGAAACGTCAATTTTCATTTCACACAGGCCATGTGTAGCTTTAGGTGCAACACTGTACACAAAATAAAACATAGCTGACAGAGGTTAACGCAATGAAAGCTAGATTGAGGCTTTTCACACAGAATCCATTCAATGGATGTACCACTTCTAGGTGAAAAATTGTAATGTCACAAAAACGTCAAAAAAATCTTGCATAGTACATCTTTAATTGTGAGAGAAATTTTATATTTTGAACTCTCTAACCTAAGCTATTTTGGACTTGCAAGTAATAAAGTCTCAGTTATCTCAAACTGAATGACAATAATAAACTGTCAAAATGAGGTGTGATAATGTGCTTACACACTAATTAAGCCTTACCTAGTTTATAACCTCTATAAATTCGACCGTTATGTCCCGCTATAGCTGCCTCAGCATCTTCCACCCGTTCAAACTGCACAAATCCATATCCACGAAACAGGGACAAGGCTGCAAAAAGGAAAAGTTTCATGCACGAAAACGTGATATTTGATGGTGGATTGATACGTTGTTCTTTACTCACACAAATTCATAATAAAACTCCATTTAGGATCCACAGCCAAATTCAAATTTCGTTTTGATGCGTTTGTGTAAATATTATTCTTAGCTGACCTTTGAGATGACCCATGTTCTTTTTAGAGGCTTCAATGTCAATCAAATTCAAGCATCAAATTCCATTACTCTTCACTTCAGCTAAATAAGAAAGATGGACGTTAGCTACTAACCCTGTATTTTGCCATATGGCCTGAACAGGTCCTCCATATCCTTCTTTGCCATATGCGCGGTGGGCAAATTGCCGACAAAAATCCTTCTCTCCAGGTCACGAGGGTCATTGCTGTTGGTGCCGTAAGATGGCGGACTTCCACTTCGGCTTCTTCTGTGCGACATGACGCTATTCGCTTCAGCTCCTAGCGCCCGCTTGCTCAAGATGGACTTGCAGTTGGTACTGTATACACGAGTGTATACAAAACTTTTGATTTTCTTTCTTTAAACAAATTATCTTTCCCCCAGGTCCTGAAAATGTCAGGGCATCAACATAGAGGAAGAAAAGAGAAATTCCATGATAAAATGTCTAGGAAAAAAAATACACGGAAATAGTTTGCAACATTTGGGGAGAAATTAAATAGAATGCTACTAAACGACCGAAAGACTGAAAAAAAAAAATGCAATTTCACCAGACAGGCCTACACCATCTATAAACTTGATGAAAGATACTTCATAAACACATTTAAATTAACAGATGTTTTATGATTTAGTACCATTATCCCCAACTGAGAAACGCAGAGGAGTGAAAACAAGCAGCCATGTTCTGAAAACATCAGGTGGTTCATGCGAACGTTATCGAGATTCAACCATTTCTTGTGTTATCTTGGAACTCGAGGCCAAAGTCTCATCAGATTAGAGCATTTGCGTAAAAATAAATGCAGGATCCACAAACTAAGATCATTGCAAGTGACGGGACAACCTGAAAACAGGGCTCATCCAAAATGGAATCCAAAAAGTGGTAAATAGCGATGGGGGAAATTTGAAAATGCTCCCCAAATGTTCCAAGCAAAGCTGCCCTTGTTTGAAACCCTGAGGTGACGACCGAGAAAGTCAACAGTATTAAACAACGAAAGCCAGAGGGAAAACTGAACTCGAACGAAGAAAACTGAAGCCGGTGATGATCCAATAACAGGTGGTTCACTTGGAAATGAGGTGGATTTAATAGACAACATGAATAAACGATGAAACGTTTATGCCTTGGTCAGTTATTAGTGTCCATGCTGAACAGCAGCCACATTGTGTGGTCTTTAAATTTTAAGTTTAATCTGAAAGATGGCCAAATGTTTCCCCCCTCCCTATCAAACCTCACAGGATATACATAAAATCCTCCTAGAAACCTGACAGAATTATATTTAAAACAGAATTTCACCGACTGTAAGGTAAGTCATTCACAGTGTACTGATGTGAAATGATTCACTTTACAGCAACTAACTGGCTCACATTTCTTTACAGTGGTGATGACAGGAACCAGAAATCAGAACGTCTACAATGAAAATATGGACATTTTATTTCCAATCCAACATGACCAGTAAAACTACATGTTGTCTGGGGTTTTTTAATTGCAATGTTGAGAACGGTAAAGTAGTGGTAAAGTAGTAATCTGAAAAATACGCTTTCTTTAGGTAGTATTTTGCCTCACAGCACTTTACATCTCTGTATAATGAACAGATTTAAAACCATTCATTTTAGTCAAACACTAAGTCAAAGCTAAAGTACAACAATGTCTCAGGCATCAAGCAACATATCTGTAACCATTTCATGTAATAATTATGTGATGTAGTTTTTAGGGGCATTCAACACTTTCTGGTTCCCATCACTACCACTGTGAACAATTCTGACTCAGTACGTTTCTAGAGAATTTAACTTCAAACCACTCTGAATGATTTTGTTTACATCCTAACTACTTAATTATGCAGAAATCTAGAAAAATCAGTGGAATTCCCCTTTAATATACTGAGAAGTTTTTTTTTTTTAAAGCAAATTTCTCTCACCATGAATTGATGTTCATTGTCACCACCCTGGAATCAATTTGTCAGGGTCAGCTTGCAACACCTGTTGTTGTTCATGGACTTAAAAAATAGCCTATAATTGTATTATCTATTTTATACCCTTTAGCAAGCACAGCTGAAAAATATGCATTCTGAACAACCACAGCGGAATGTATTCTCAAAATGAGGCACGACTGTCAATAGGGCACTTCGTGTTTTTAAAAACGTTGTTTTAGTTCATTTCTTTCTCAGCGTGGGATGAAAGTCCAGAAGCATAAAGTTACACGAAGCCCAGCGCTGCAAGGAAACACATCGATGAAGCAGTTATTCAGAAAGCCGCCCTGTAAGTGAAAGTGAAGGAATGACAGGTCTTGTTAGTTAGACTGCTATTTTGATCGCGTTCTTAAAGGGGAACTCCACCAATTTAAAAATCTACATATTTAAAGGGTTAAGATGACAACAAAGTTATGCTGCGTTCTAGAGAAACTTGCCGAGCCAGAGCTGTTCACAGTGGTGGTGATGGGAACCAGACATCTGAAGAGTTCAATGTCTCTGAAAGCTCCCTCACTGAGAGTTACTACATAAAATACATGCCGTCTGATGTCTGACACACTGTTTTATGATAGTGTTGTGATAACGTTTTGGCTTAAAATGTATTTTAATCCATTTATGGCCATATTTGTGCTGTAGATATGGGAACCCCTGGTTCCTATCACCACCAATGTAAAGAAATATGGGTCTGTACGTTTCTCCAAAGGTAATCATTTCTCATAAAACCACTCTGGATGGCATTGTTTACATCTCAAGGACGAGATTATTAGGTGGAATACCTAATAAAAAAGTGGTGGAATACCCCTTAAAGAGAAAGAGAGAGAGTGAGGTTGTAAATGATCCACCGACAGTGAAGTGTCGCACAACCGGTCGGCCATTTTGTACAAACAGTAAGGACACGGCTAGCAGGTGTGGGGCGCATTGTTGCAAAACGAAAAACGGGAATTATTTCGCGAACACGAAGAAATTAGAGCAGTATCCGCTGAAGGAAGCTGTTCAATTTCTCTGTTAAAGACTGAAATGCACAAACACACACAAACACAGCCCGTTACGGACTGAAACTCAAACACAAAAGCCGACAGACAGCAGGTCAGCGGCTGAAACGACGCTGAAGTTAGCTTCTTATCTGTGAGCTTCTTCAGATTTCCCTTACACCTTAAATGGTGCAGCAGTTAACCTACATTTTAGCCGACTAACTTACTACAGACGCCAGAATCAAACTGCTGCACCATTTAAGGTGGAGTGGGAAAAACGAAACAAGAAACTGGCGGAAAAGAAGCGGACTTCAGCTTCGTGTGCCTGAACCGGAGAGACAGACGCCATGTTGTTTAACTGGTCCAGCTACCGTTAACGGACAAAAATGTTTCCTTGCGGTGAAACATAGGTTTTAGTTCAACAGTAGCACAACAATATTGCAGAAAAGTATCTGTAACGAGCGTTGCCTTGAATGCACTGTGGTTTCCAATACAAACGGAGCAACACCGCTTCTGTACCCCGCGTAGGCTGTATTAGCCACTTAGCCAAAGCCCCGAGGGGTAAATAGAGAGCACAGTATTAGAAATTTGTCTGTGTTACGCGTTTTAAATTCAACGTTTATTTGGCGAACAACAAAGCAGTCCTTACCTTTAACATTAGGAGTCTGTTTATCCTATCCCACGACGCCGTTAGCTCGCCTTTCAACGGCACGAAGCTCTTGCTCCGTCTTTCTGAGAGCAGGGATGTCCGAGCTCTGAGCGAATCGTTCGTGTGAGCCGATTCTTTTCACTAAACTAATAGAACCGATTCACAAGAACTCAAAGCTGAAGATATGCCTTAAATGCATCGGTGCTCTTTGTAGGTTGTGCATTGTACATCTCTCAGTGAATGTGTGCGTAGTCCGTGTTAGTAACGACAAAAAGTTGTTTCTGACGTTGGATTCATTGAACGACACTTCAAAAGAATCAGTTCAGTAAACTGACTGGATCTTATTCAGATCAGCGACAAGCCGGAGTTTTAATAGACAGCGCATTTTTGTTTAAAATGCATATGTGTGCACCTTGATAGTGAAAATTGTGATACATTTTTTTGTACATTTGTATACCTTTATTATTTGGTCTGTGTTATATTTTAATACTAAAATAAAATAAATAAAAGCAGCCGGCGAGCTCAGATACGGAAACGACTCCTCGATGTTCTCGTCAAAATAAAAGTCCACATACATTTCCATGTCTTCATTCCTTTTTTTTTCAAAAAAGCAACATCGTATGTTACAGTTATTCTCAATTTGTATTTTTTGTTTGTTTATTTGTCTATTTTTGATTATTATGTAAACATGACCATGAAGAACACGCCAAGTTAACTTTTGTTTTCATTTTATTTTTTCTCAGCAACGTGATCTGATCACGGGACTGCGGTCACATGATTTGTTGGATCTATTTAGGCTGGATTTCACTTCCCGCTATGTTCAACATCTGCAAAGGTAGGGTAAAAAGTGTATATATTTTTTTTTGTTACTCTAGCAATGGCTTAGATTGTATTTTTTTAGGTGAAGATTATAATGTTGCAACCTCTTTTTTCCATCTAAATGGACAAAATGCCTTTTAACGTAGTCGGAGACAGCCGTCGAAGCAGCTTAGTTAACTTTCAGGGTTCTTCAGAGAAGTGGACGAAGCTCAAGTAGGCTTTTTTTTCGAATTGTCTGTTCCACCTTAAATGGTGCAGCAGTTACAGATTCCTTCTGACGCCTCAGAGGCTCCGATTGTAACTGCTGCACCATTTAAGGTGGAACGGAAAATTCGAATGAAGTCTACTTCAGTGAGAGGTTTTATGTATTACCAAGCCTTCCAGCGTTTTGTATAAAGTTAAGAATTCTTTGCCAATTGTTTTGTGCTTTGTTTGGTTCGTTTCAGATGGATTTGGTGGTGGTGGTGTGCTTGCTGTTAGGAGCGGTGGGAGTTTTCGGAGCCCCAGATGCGGATGAAATCAAGTTTCTCCCAGGACTTGCGAAACAGCCCAGCTTCAAACAGTACTCCGGCTACTTCACTGTAGCAGGAAATAAGCACCTCCATTACTGGTAGGGTTATTTTACAGTTCTTGTTTTTTCCACTAGCTGGGGCGTTACACAGGCCCATTATCCTTAAGCCGGGTTTTCCCTGCTGGAGGTCAGGATCTGATCCTGTATACTAACACCCTGTAAAAGGTCTCTTTATAGGTGCATGAAGGTGTAAAGTCTATGTGTTTGGTCCTTTTATTGTGGCTGTAAATACTCTGCTGTAAACCTTGTTCAGGTTTGTGGAGTCACAGAAGAACCCAGCCAACAGCCCAGTGGTCCTGTGGCTGAATGGGGGACCAGGATGCAGCTCCTTGGATGGTTTACTGACAGAACACGGGCCGTTTCTGGTGAGAACCTGCACTGTTTCCTGATTTCTGCTTTCGCTTCTATTGCATTTCAGTGGGGAAACAATGTGATGACTCTCAGGAAAACTTCTTCTTCAGACTTCTCATAAGTCTCTAAGGGGACTTCCTTAAATCTAATGGTTTTCATTGCCAGTAAGACATTTTGAGTACAATCTTGAAAAAAGGTGGATCTCCAGTTGTTCTTTAGTGAGTTGTATATGGAACCATTTCATGTTTAAATGGTTTGTTGCACGGTGAAGTGGTTCCTTAGTTTGATGGAGAATGCCTTGTATATAGCGCCCAAAAATGGTTCTGCTGCTGTTACGATATCAAGCTTGTAACAACAGAAGAACCCTTTTTTTGGAGCTATATAAAACCATATACAACACGTTCTCCATCAATTTGAAGAATAATTTCATGCAAAGAACCATTTAAGCATGAAATGGTTCTATGTAGAATTCACGGTTCTAAATAGAACCCTTGAAGAACCATCTTTTTCTATGTGTACATATAAATTACTTAACAGTTCCTACAATATACTCACTGTACAGATGTAGTGTTTGCAGGCTAATTTTTTTTTTGTTTTACAGATCCAAGATGATGGCACTTCTCTGGAGTATAATCCTTATTCGTGGAATATGGTATGCAATTTCACCAGCATGCACATATTTATGTATCACTGAGAGGCCAGAATTAGCTTGATGATCATAGGGGAAGTTGTTTTTTGTCTACCAATATGAATGTCTAAACAGGGCCTTTAGAGATCATGAAACTTAACTAATGATTGATTACCACAAGAATAATTTCAATTTACAGTTTAATAGTCTGGTTTTGTTCTTTGTGCACAACTATTAAGTTACAAGCCTAAACTGGCTGATTTAGCTTTCTTGCCTCCTTGCTGTCAATACTTAGTAGCACCTGACTGAAGATACAGCCCAAGCTTAAGTCAACAGACGTTACTCACCGCTGCCGTCTAAAGGTGTTAGAGCACCAGTCTGAAGTATTACTTTTGTTTTCATAAGACAGACGTGTCCCAATAAATGGTTTATGCTCTTTTATTAACATGCATTTGCGTCAAACCAAGTAATGAACAAACGCAATGTAAACGTTTCATTGCAACAAAACCTTGTGTTTCCAAAATGGAGATTTTACAGAAGAAAAGTCATTCTTAACTGAAAATTGAAGTTAATGGAGCAAGATCAAGTGATTTTGGAGCTCTTTCAAATTTATTTGAAAAATAAACAAAAAAGGGGTTCTCCAATAGTGATGATTTTTATTGTGACTAGTAACAGCTGTGGAAAATCATAACTGGTATGATGATGATGATGATGATGATGATAATCATAATCATCATAATCATAATAATAATAATCAGGAGATTGTGTAATAATAGATTGTGTAATAATGGTCAGAGACATTGTCCTTGTTTAACCATCAAAAAATCTGCATTTAACCGGATCAATGTTGATACCAAACTTACATTCGTTTCCAGATTGCCAACATGTTATATCTGGAGTCACCAGCAGGTGTCGGGTTTTCCTACTCTGATGATAAGAAGTACGCGACCAATGATACAGAGGTGTGCTTGTGCTTTATTTTTAGAGCTTTTTTTAGTTGTTTATTAAACTGCAAGGAGATGTTCTTTCCCTTTTCTAACACAATCTGTGTTCTAGGTGTCCATGAACAACTACCTGGCCCTAAAGGAATTCTTCAAGGCCTTTCCAGAGTACAGTAAGAATGAGTTCTACCTCACCGGCGAGAGCTATGGAGGCATTTACATCCCTACTCTGGCCGAGAGAGTTATGGAGGACAGTAGCATCAACCTGCAGGTGCCTGTTTGTGGGGTTTTGGGTTTAGTGGGAGTAAGAGATTGAGTGTTGTGCTTTTGAACTGTAGTTTGTAGAGTCTGTTCTTTACTCTATGTTTTTGTGTGTGTCGTTTAGGGCATAGCCGTTGGAAATGGCTTGTCCAGCTATGAGCTGAACGACAATTCTCTGGTCTATTTTGCATATTACCATGGACTGCTTGGAACAAGGTGTTTTGCTTTTAATTCATTTTTCTATACGTGTCATTTTTAAAGGTCCAGCAAGTCATGCATGCAAAATGCATCTGTTTTGCTATATCAAACTCCGTTCTCCTAGATAACGGGATCACCAGCCTTAAACGCAAGAGGCCAGTGTGGCTGCTGGTTTTTGTTCCAACCATGCAGGAACATGCCTTATATAGCTACTCGGTTGTGTGAAGACCAAATGATCAAGTGGAATCGGGTGCATTTCTGCTTTATTGTCATGAATACCAGCAGCCACACTGACCTTTTGCATATAAGATTGGTATGTCATCTCAAGAAATGGGCATCCACTGGATTAGAGGTATTTTTAACTGCTGTTCAAAGGATTGCACTCACAGTTCAAACATTTGGAATCACAAAAATATTGGCAATATGTTATCAATATACCTTATGTTAATGTTAAGAATTTAACTTAATTCATATCCAGAATGCCTAATTTTCAAAAAGCAGTGACCAAATTTTGCTGCTTAAATAGTTATGTATAATTTAACATTAAATGGTTAATTTTAAATCATGTCATAACTAAGGCCGTTAAACTGTAAGTAAATTGTCAGGTCTCTGTTTTCTGGTTTATAACATTTCAATATAAACTGTATAACTCATTACTGAATAGCAATTAAGAAAAAGGATTACATACCTTTGAACGGCAGTGTATCCTTTAGGGGAAAGTACAGCTGCTTAGGTTCGGTCACTGAACCTAAGTACAGAATTGCTCCAGGGCCCCTCTGCCCACTTTAAGGAGAAGAAAAAGGAGTTTTTCCAGCTCTAAATTGTTTTTGGCCCTCAGAAGTTTTCAAATCTCAAGTTATTTCAAATTTCAGCTTGTTGGACCTTTTACAAAGAAATTACTTAATTAAAATATCTTGGTGAAGGCAGTAATATTAATTATCTTCTCTTCTTCAGTGTATGGGCCACTCTGCAGCAATATTGTTGCAAAGATGGAAATTGTAACTTCTATAATAGTCCTGATCCAAACTGCTCCAGCAGCGTAAGTGGTTATCTGACTCTTATCTCTGAAAATGTGGATTTTTGATATATATTGTTTAGGATATACATATTTCCTCTTGTTATAGGTATTGGAAGTGCAGAATATCGTCTACAGCTCTGGACTGAACATATATAACCTGTATGCTCCCTGTGCTGGAGGAGTAGGGACAAGGTGAGAAACCGTTTAAAAACTCTCACACATGAATGTTCTCAACATTTACAGATGGTTGTACGTTTCTATAGAAAGTAAATTAAGAGGCCCTGTAGATTTTCACTTGTAGTAAAGGAGCTGATGCTTTTC